AGGTTGTATGTCAGAGCATGTTTTCGATGACATTAACCTGTGTGGAAGAGGTCGGGAGAATCCACAAAGGATGTAAGACCTATCCGAGGTTGTATGTCGGAGACCTGCTCGACGACATTAACCTATGTGGAAGTGGTCGAGAGAATCCACCAATGATGTAAGACCTATCCGATGTTGTATGTCGGAGCCCTGCTCGACGACGTTAACCTGTGTGGAAAAGGTCGGGAGAATCCACCAAGGATGTAAGACCTATCCGAGGTTGTATGTCGGAGCCCTACTCGACGACATTAACCAGTGTGGTAGAGGTCAGATCAAATCCCCCTGGGATTGATCATCCGGTGATTGAGATACAATGTAGATTGTGTATTTCTCGAATCACGGAGAAAGAGTTTGAGAAATTTTTTCTTATCTTTCATAAGAGAAAATAATATCACAACAACATGAACATTATATTACTGCATCATGTAAGATAGTACAATAGTTCCCTAGTATGACTTAGAGATACACAAATAACAAAGTACTCATTACATAAGGTATACGTACAATGAAAATACAATATTTAACTTGGATGAAGACATTAGAGGTATCAAAGTGACACCCTACTCAACATAAAAAAGACAACAAGATAAGTAGTATTGCTAATACAAATGCGCTAAATGTGTGATCATTTAATCTCTCCAACCATCTAAATATTATTCAATGGTTTCCTTTGTTGTTGATTTTGCCCCCATTAGGATGAGATTCCTCTCGGGTAGGTGGATCCCGAATAAATTGTCGAAGGTAGCCCTGGCGGATAAGTCTTTCAATCTCATCCTTGAATTGCTTACAGGCTTCGGTGGTGTGACCACGACTTCGATGAAAGTGACAGCACTGATCTGCATTTCCTGTGTTCGATTTCAAAGGATTCGGCCATTTCAATGTATCTTGATCTCGAACATCCATCAACAAATTTGCTCGAGATATATTAAGTGGTGTATACTCCTCCTCATGTCGATGTTCCCATCGTGGTGATGGAGACCTATGAGGTAGATTATTCTTCCCATGCTTTTTCTGCTGTGAGAAAGAATTGTTCATCCCAGGTACACCTTTGCGCTTCCCATTGATTTGCTCAAACTGCTTCCTGTGAGCATTTATAACCTCATATGCAGAGATTTGCGCCTCCACGCGATGGATCAAGTCGGCGTATGAATGGACGGTGTCTCGCATAAGGGCCGAATAGAAGGGGCCAGGATGAAGGCCTCCAAGGAAGACTCCTTTGAGTAATTCAGGGTCTACTCCTAAAATCTGTCGAGCCTCGGTGGAAAACTGCTGAAAATACTCCTTCAACGATTCTCCCTCATTTTGGCGGATCCCGGAGAGGTGCGAGAATCCTTAGCAATTCTTCGGTTAGCCACAAACTGTTGAACGAATAATTTGGCTAATTTGATGAATGAATGGATCGTTATGGATGGAAGAGAATAGAACCACGTTCAACCCTGTCCTTTAAGGGTGGCAGGAAAGACCTGGCAGAGGAGCGCGTCCGATGCTCGTTGAATATGCATGATGGTTCTGTAGTAGTCGATATGCTTATACTGGTTGGTCGTTCCATCGTAGGACTCAACGTTTGGTACTTTGAATCTGACTAGAATGGGGTGATGAAGAATGACTTCAGTTAGGAAGTTCCTCTGTTGGAGAGCATGCCTCACATCTACTCGAGGGAAGTCTTCTCGTACCAATTTTCGCAGTTCGCGACGCAGGACATTGTGAGGGAGTTCCGCAATATGTGGTTGGAGAGAGCCTTCTAGTAGATCCGAAAGAATGCGAGGCTGCCGAGTCGAGGGGGAAGGATGTGTTGAACTCGCTGTATCGGCAAGTTCATATTCCTGTCGTGATTGAGGATGTCTCCTAGGTGGAGGAAGAAGAATCTCTTCTTAAGATGCTCGAATTGAACATCTTCAACCCTTGGTGGATACCGAGGGAGAAGGACCTCCTCCAATGTCAGCTGTCGATCATCTCGCAGGAGTTGAAGGATTTCGTTTTGAGATTCTTCCATATTCCAGATTCTTTTTTCTAAAGAAGGTCTCAAGATCCCTTCTCCGGCAGCATTCTGCCCCCCAGGGTGAAAAGAGGTAGATGCTGGGCGTCTGTGATTCACGGACTACTTTTTGGATTGGTGGGAGTTGGAGCGAGAAGCTCCAACGATGCGACTGCTACGTCTGTTAACCATTGCAGCGACACTTGAAGTTTGTGGGATAGAAGTTTCTCACAGACGGCGCCAAACTGTTGCGTGCTAGAATATACGCGGCAGTAGAGTTAGAAACTATTCATCTTAGCGTTGCACGAGTATCCCGCACACAAACAGAAAAGAGAAATGAACACCAAAGTTTTTTCGTGGAAAACCCAAAAAGGGAAAAAATCACGGGGCCTCGCCCAGTTGTAAAGTTCCACTAGTGTTTGTATGAAAATGAATAAAAGGGGTAAATTACCTAAAAAACCATATAAAAAATTTTTTAAAAAAAAATTGAGGGGGGGCAATTGCCCCCCCTGGAACCCATTGGGTTCCGCCCCTGACGGGGCCTCGCCCAGTTGTAAAGTACCACTAGTGTTTGTATGAAGTACAGAGGTTGATCCGTCTTACAAATCAAGACGATCAGTTTACAATCAGCTTCTCACAAAGTTACAAAGTTCTGCAAATTTCCGGCGTTTCCCAAAAATTCAGCAGAGTTCCGACGTCTTCAGGCGGCAAGAAGAGCTCCGGCGTTGGTCGAGGAGGAGCTTCTTCCTTCTCTTTCTTCTTCTCTTCTTATTCTCTCTTTTCACTTGAGTCCCCTTTGTGTAGAATGAGGGCTCTATTTATATTTTTTTGGAGTGGCATAGCCCGTAAATAGGCGTGAGATCATGGGCGAATTGGGAGTGGTTTGAATGAATGGCCGATATTGAATCCTACGATCGTGCACCGTTTGTTGGACATTTGAAGGTCTTAATGTTGTTGGAATTTGGAGATCTTGAGCTCGTTGGATTTGTCTTGTCGAGCCGCTCGATTCAAGTATAAGCTCGTTAAAATCGGAGATCATTTGGTAACACAAATTGCAGTTTGAAGTTTTCAACGGTGCTTCGGGTCCTTGATTCGGACTCATTTGGGCTCGGATTGGGTCGAATTTGATTCGTTGGATTCGTATTTCCGAGACGCTCTGTTTGACTGTAAGCTCGCTGAAATCGGAGTTCATATGCTCTCAAATTTAATTTTTTAAGTTTCGAACTAATTTTGCCTCGAGATTCGTGCCCAATCAAGATAATTTTATGATGACGTATCAGTCATAAACAAAATCGAACGATTCTCTCTATCCTATCTCCTCACATAATAATCTCTTTTTTCCAAGAGGTTCATATCTTTTGAATAATTACATTATACTCATTAACGTACGTTTGCGTACGTTCATGAGACAGAACAAACTCACTACAAATTTAAGAATGCCAAAGAAGAAGCGATAATAGTAGAAATGGGAACAATTCTATCTGAGATATTTCTTGATCTGAAGCTTTTCCTTCTTTCAGTCGTTGCTGCCGCTTTAATATGGCTAACCATAGGGTTAACGAGCAGCCTACAATGGAAAAGAAAAGGGATAAATAAATCTTCCTCCGGGAAATATGGAGTGGCCATTATCAATCTGGAAGAACATCTCTTTCCTCAAGTCATCACCCTTCAACTCCCATGGACAGTTTGCTAAGCGAAACATTCAAAAGTAAGCAATGGTGGCTCTCTCCGTAATCATCGGATTGACGTCATATATTCTAAGTAAATTGAAAAAATTTTAAATAAAATTTGAGCATTTATTTGAAATTTGTTGATTATGACCTTAGTGTTAGAGAGAAATTATTCTAAATGAGTGGAAGAGGATAAAAACAATAGGAACTTCTATTATAAAATTTTCTCTCTTACATCCATATGACAAGACTCAATGCCTATTTATACTAGTACAAAGACAATAAAATAAATTTAATAATAATAAAATTCAATTGAATAAATTTAAATCAGAATATCTAACTCAAAATTTGCTCCAAAAATAATTAAAGCATCCACTCAAATAGATGACAAATTAGTTGATTTTTTTGTCAAACAAAAATTTTTTTAAAAAAAATCATTTAAAAGATAAAACAACTAACTACAATAAACAAAAAAGGATTATTGGCGGATCTATATAAATTAATATTTCTCACACCAAAATAAAATAATATACATTGAACAACCAAGTTTATATGATACATTTGAACACAAAGAGTGTGATAAAAACAGACACAAAATATGTAACATATTATATAAAAAATAAAATGAAAAATATATACATTATCCATCCATAAAAATCATTCTCCTAATAAAAAAGAATACAAATAAATAATAAATAAAATTACTATATAAAATTCATGTAGGTGGCAACAGAACAAAATCATCAATTAAACTAATTTGTATAAAAAAAAAGGGGTTTTTACATACATATCACTTAAAACTATTAAAATTACATATCTAACATCTAAAGTATACTATTTACTTTTCTACCACCTAAATACTATTCATCTCACCTAAAATACCACTATGTCAGCTCCCGTCAAAATCCCACCCGACCTTCGTTTCACCAACCCCACCCAGACTTTCATTTAACGAAACATCGTCGGAGACAGGGAAGGTGTTTTTTGGTATACCGATGGCTATTCAGGGAGTTATTCTGTTTCCTTGAGCGATTTAGTTGATCAATCGAGGAGGAGGAAGAGGAGTTCAGAAAAGCGAAGAGGGAGCAGGAAGGAAAGCGTGCGTTCTAGAACCTAGAGGAAGAGGTCATCTAGAAGTAGTAGGAAGAAGAGAAGCAGGAAAGTGGCTTCGGATTACAGTGATAATTCTTATTCTGTGTCCAGTCCTAGAGCCAGGAAGAGGAGGACCTCAAATAAGAAAAAAAATAAGCAGTCTAAATCGGTGAACTTGTCTGAATCAGAGCTTGATGTCGGATCTGCTGACGCTAATAAACCTGAGATTGATCCTGAAGCCGTAAAATTCATGGAGATGATTGAATTGCAGAAGAAACAGGCTTTGGATGGTGAGCTTCCTGTAGGACCTATGCCTCTTCCACATGCAGAAGGCCACATAAGCTATGGTGGGGCTCTGAGGCCAGGAGAAGGAGATGCCATAGCACATTATGTACAACAAGGCAAGCGTATTCCAAGGAGAGGAGAGGTCGGTCTTTCTGCTGAGGAGATTCAGAAATTTGAGGACTTAGGCAATGTGATGAGTGGAAGCAGGCAAGGAGAAGCCATCAACGATGCAGCGAAGAACATTAGCGGAGAAAATCGATGATGGATTCCATTCGGAGAAGCCAGATTGAGAGGAGCGAACGAAGGTTGGGGTGGGGTTTGACGGCAGTTGACGGAGTGGTATTTTAGGGGAGATGAATGGTATTTAGGTGGTAGAAAAGTAAATAGTATACTTTAGGTGTTAGCTTTGTAATTATAATAGTTTTAGGTGTTATATATGTAAAAATCCAAAAAAAAAATTATTTAGCTATCGATGATTTAAATTGAGGCTCATAATTCTCAACAGCCATTACTAATTAATATGAAATAAGAGAATGAAAGAGATAAATAGAAGAGTTAATTGGTGGATGAAGTTGATTTATGTGGTTTATTAATGATTTGCACATTGTGCAGGCCAATTCTAGAAAGTATTCAGACAAAGGCTTGTTTGACCTTTTTATTCCATCAGGCATACATAATTTTACAACTTCCACATTTGAATTACACAAAAAGGGGAAAAAAGTGAGAGGACGCCAAATTAGATTATCTAAGGCTTCGTTTGGGACGGATTTCTTACTACTTATTAAAGCAGTTTTTTAGTACAAAAATTTTTATACAAGAAAATTAATTTTAGATGCAGTAAAAAAGTCATCTCAAACGAAGCCTAAGAAAATATGAGGTAACTGTCAATATAATTGTCCTTTCCTTTTTCATTTGATCAATTACCATGCTTGAGCCCATACTTATTTGAATAAATTAATTGAAATTAGCATTTGCACATTAAAAAAAAATCATATTCTCTCAAAACTTAAGAAAATCTAACCTCAAAATTTTTTTAAAAAAAATTAATATTCAAATTTCAAAATTTTAAATTTCTCATTTTAAAATTATAATTTCTACTACAAACCAAAAACACACACAATTTTTACAATATCTACGCACTCAAAAAAAAATAAAAAAGCAACTCAAAAGCTTTTGTTTTGCTCTGATCTGTCATAGGTCCTTTAATCTTCTCAGCTTCCTTCCTTTTATGAGCTCTAGTTATTTGTCCACTTTTTTCTTAAATGAGCAACTTGTGCCACATCAAAACTTTCTATTATTCTTACAAAATTTTTAACTTAACTGCTAAATAAGGGAAGCATACAGATGCTTAAATTTTACCTTCAAACATAATGGATACAGCTTTTCCTACTTCAGATAAAACTTGCACACAAAATTTGGAACCTCTTCAGATCTTATTATGGAATCACACAGCCTTTGAAGCCCGCCTCTAATGTCGAAAGCCCAATGAGATTTAGGCTTCGTTTGGGACGGCTTCCTTACCGTTCTTTAAAACGGCTTTTTAGTAGAAAGAATTTTTATACTAAAAAGTTACTTTAAGAAGTAGAAAAAAAATTGTCCCAAACAAAATCTTAGTTATCCCCTTATATATCTTCTTCCTATTATTCAGAGCATCAATGATCATGCTGTTGAGTAGCTTTATGATTCTAGTGTAACTCTTCTTAGAAATGAATATTTTGATTAGATAAAACTATGGGGGACTTGCAGAACTAATATACCTCATGAAACCAGGAAACGGTAATCAGAGAAATTATTGCTTCAAAATTTTGGGTGTGCTCAGATTTACAAGAGAAAATTATCGATCATGTGAAAAATTACATCAGCACCATCAGAGTTTAAGAGCTTGGACTTCACCTGCACAAAATCATAGAAATAGTTAATCATAAAGGAGCACACAAAATCATATATAGAAATATTTATGACATGAATACAGTAGTGAATATTTTGATTAGATAAAAAACATGCAGAATTGTTCAAAGAGAAACTTCCTGCAGTTTCTCAACGTAAAAAGAAAGAGGAATTTTATAGAGAAAATAGCTTTCATTCATGTCCCATGAATGAGAAGCAATATACCTGAATAGTACTGTGAGCAAAAACACGTTGTTTACTTTTGCGGAAGCTCACGTCTACCCTTTCCCAGGGGACTCTATTAAGACCTTTGATCATCAGCTCTGCATTGTTCAAAGACAGATTTGGATTAAGAACAAACACCAAACCTCAAATAATTAGAAAAATCCTAATTAATGATGTGATGACGATAGGTTAGGAATAAAGACAGCTAACAGTAAAATTTTTTTTCTGAACTTCAAATAGAGCGCAGCTAATAGTAAACCCCATGCAGCAAAAGATAATTGGTACGTAGCACATTTATATGAAACGTTAGATACTTCTTTTCCTTAGCCTTTAAATGCTATTAAGCTGTTTCTTTTGTGGAAATATCCAATGGAACTTAATAGAGCAAGAGAATCTATACACTGACAGCTTAGAAGAAAATGAATTGGTGATATAAATTAGCACAGACGTTCTAATTTGAGTACTTATAGTGACGCTGACCAAGTGTGATGAATATAGTAAATTAAAAAAAAGTTCTTAAATTTCATAAGTAGAAGGATAATTTCCTATCTGATGTACAAATTTAGCACTGTTTGCAATTGTTTTTAAACTCTAATAATATGTTTCTTTTGTGTGTTCATCATTAGGTATGCTTACAATAAAAAGAACTAGACAATTTAAATAAAGCAAAGCAACGCCAACAGGAGATTCCCATATTCGATGAGCATAAATTTTTTGAGTTGCAATAAAAAAGATATTGGATTAACATATAATGGCAGTTTCAAGTATGATAGTTTATGACCCACCTTCCATTTCAGAGGCAGATTTTGGATCATAAATTACTGCCTCCCTGAAATCTTCTTGTTCCACATTGGTGTTTTTTGGCTTTTCCACATAAACAACATGAGGATATTTTGCATCCTTTGTGAAATTGCTGGGCTGGATTGAAGCCGGCAAAAGGAAAGGCTTACATAAGATGGCTACAAGAAACTCAACAATGCAGTAACTGTCAAATATTTACCTTTGGAAGCTCATGCTTCCGGCGGATTGATGATGTCTTCCATCCCACAATAACTAAGAATAGTCAAGTACTGAACATTGCAACACAACTAACCTGGTGACTAGCAAAGTCCTGCATTGGATACCCATATTCATACCCACCCACCCATACCCAATAGGTATGAGTGGGTATGGGTACGCCTATAACCTCATGGGTGGGTATGAGTGGGTACTCAACATCGGGGGATAAATCAATTTACATTGTTAATCACCATAGGACGTATATTATTATAATCCTCACTATGAAGTGTGCATCACTGAGCCGCACTACAACCATGATAAATTTTGATATGCGGCTTGAAAGTTTGCAGTCAGAGCAAAGCGTAACAAACCTCAAGGTCATCAGTCTGTGGCGGACTGCATTAAAAAACGTGGAAAGTGAGTGGGTATGGGTGGGTAAGATATCTCGAAAGTCATCATGGGTGGGCGTGGGTGAGCAAAGCCTGCCAACACAGAGCGTGGGTACCCAACCAGGACCCTATGTAGGGCTTTGGTGACTAGGAATTTGTTTTGAATATGTCTCTTTTCAAAAATAAGATATGCCTCATTCATGATTTAATTGTGAATATACCATGAAGGTCCCCCAGCACCACAAATGACTTTACAGACATGGGAACATAGTTGAGTAGTTCATTCATCTCTGAGAGAGAGTAATCGTGACTGCACTTGCTACGCAAAACAACAAAAATTATCCAAAAGATAACTAAGTTGACCCATTATTAACTAAAAACTTTCCATATCATAATCATGTGCATTTTTTATGTAAGGATACAATCATAACGAGCATTTGAGTAAGCAACTCGTCTATGGAATGATCCTAAAGCAGACCTGTAAAAGAAATATAAATTAATAAGAACGGTCGCAAAGTGTTTTTGCAAAACAATAACCATCAGTTATGAAATCCCACATGAATTTTAGATCTCCAGAGTCTGTGGTCATCCTGAGAAGAAGAGGGGGCTTTCCCTCATCATGATCTTTGAGGAAGAGGTGTTTTCCTGATCTCCCTGCAATGCCGGAAATGTGAAACACCATCTTTTCCAATGCATGTAAACCACGAAGCATGGGAATCTGTAAGCAAACAATAGTTTTACAAACTAGATGATTTGATCGATGGGGTTTAAATAGAAGCCAATCTCCAAGTTTTATAAAAAAGCTTAATTAGCTGGCATTAGGAATTGCAGAACATATGATTAACTTTGATATTGAGTTAAAAAAACCAGCATTAAGTTGCTCTATATCCAATTTAAGGAAAGAAGATATGAGTAGTCAAATTTGTTGAAAAGGCAAAGTGATTTCATGCACTGAAACTCGTGATAGATCATTTGATATTAATTGCTACAGAAATTAGAAGCTCCGCCAGAGATTTGCGTGATTGGTTTCAGGTGTTATTACATAGTCCAACCCACATTTCCATCAATCAAAAAGGTATCACAGTCTAAAAACAAACAATAGTTTAGTCTATCTCACGCAAAACTCTAAAGAAAAGAGACGTTGAAAATAAGATAAACCAGGAAAAACAAGTTAAAGTATCTTGGCCTAGTTTTATGACAATGATATGAAAGGAGACAAAAAAATCAACTAAGAATAAAAAAAGCTCATTTGCATTTTGCAGTGATTCCTGATTTCAAGGCGTACCTAAAAGTCTATATAATGACTGAAAGTGAACTTGAAAGTTAACCTGCTTGTGGAACCTAGAGCCAAGGTGAGGTGTCGCAAATGTGATGAAATTTACTGGCTCCAGCCCTGCAATCTTTCCTTTGAGTTTATGTTCTGAAGATTCATCAGGTTTTTTAACCTTACACGACCCATTCTCATCAGAGCAATCCTGGATGACACTTCTTTCATATAATCTAGCAATAGCATATCTGGCTACCAGGCCGCCAAGAGAATGCCCTACAAAGGATATCTTTTGAAGAGCTGGCCTCCGTTTTACAACTAACCTTACCTGCAAATAGAATAAGATGAATTAACAATAGGACTCATGAGCAAAGGTGAATCTAATTACAGAAGGGATTAGAAGTACACTTATGAAGTTCATATAAAAAAATAAAGAACCAAATGCATATTGAATACCTTTTGTCAACCTACAATATAACAAATTCATGACAACTGTACGTCAAGCAGGGTATGACACAATCAAAGCTCCATTCATGAAAAAAATTCAAAGAACAAAGTGAAGAAGAAGATATGCACCTCTTTTGCTAATCTCTCTCCCATTACATCAACACCATCAAAAGTCAATGTTGCGCAATTACATTCACTGCCTGCAAATTAAGACCAAGGAATAATACTCATCTCAATAGCACAGCAGGATTGCTATTTTTCTATCTAATAGGATAGATTAAGAGGAATATAACAGTGGAAAAAATTATACACAGAACACAAGAAGTTTCAAATCATTGCTAAGATGAAAATGAGAGTGGAGAATAATCCTAAATTGAAAGTGAAGAAAGAGTTCTGATCATAATACTTTACTAAGGGCCTTAAATTATATATATTGATGGTGGCCATCTACTAATATATCTGACCCAACGTAGGCCCTTACTATTCATCTCTACTAACAATCATTATTCCAGAAAATATAGTCAGTACCAACCAAAACTGCACATCCTTATTTTAACGAATATTGCCACAAAATAATTCCATTCTATCATTTTCCATACAAGAAAAGCTTTTGTGTCCCTCTAAGTGGGCATATAATAAATTCAGCATCACCATAATTAGTCATACCCTCTAAGAGAAGGATACTTCTTCACAAAGCACATATAAACTGTTCCTAATAAGATATAAGTAAACTCTCAGGGAAGCAAATATTCTGCAATTCAGTAAGTTTCCAAGCACAAGGGATCATAAAAGCAAAGAAATCAACATAATTGAGTCATCTATAGTAACCACTACTCTAAAAAGTCAAGAAACTTTATAAAATCAACGTTTAGCTTGCTTTATTAAAACTGTAAACGTTTCATCCTTTCGAAGAGATAATAAAGAGCTAGTCAGGGACACTGAACTCACAATGTACAACAACATCTTCAGGATATCTTTTCACAAATTGTTTTGCTGCAAATCTCCAATTATCGGCACTGCACACCAAGGAAATGATAAGAAATAATGAAAATAAAGGATTATTCACTAACGAGCAGTAAGGGATGACTTTTATTTTTTATTATACATTTTACTTTATTTATATTTTGTCATAAAATACTAAATATTTGATACCTGAAAAATATATTATTTTGATTGAATATTGAATATTGAAAAAGTTAAGTTAAAAATATATTTGAATTGTTGGGTGCCTCGGTGGTGATGCTCAAAGCATCTTAAGATTATTTTGAACTTTTAAAAAAATAATTTGATTTGTTAAAAAAAAAGAAATAATTCAAAACAAAAAAAATATAATTAAAAAAAAATCAAGAAGAAAAGTAATGAACCTAAAGTTGTAAAACCTGCTGCATAAAAGTTGTAAAAAGTTTTTAGGACAAGAATACGAAGAAGAACGAAAACATTCGAACATACAAGAAAGGAAAGCATTTTTCCTCATAAACCGAAAGTCTGATTGAATGACGAGAATTTGAATGAAAATATTTTTGGAAAAAAAATGGAAACTTCGAATTAATAGCCGCTAATTCATAATCAATCCATAAATAACTTGTATTACATTTCATTTCCTTCACTTTTCTCTAATCCAAACAATCAGATCTTACAGAAAACAAAATCAAAAGCAAATTTTGCGGACCTCCCGACGATGCCATTAATCGTAACCACGAGATGCGTCGGAATTTTCCGCGGCGCGTCCCCTCCGTCCAACCCCGAATCGTCCCTCAGATCACTGGACGGCCGAAAACAGCTCATCAACCGATGTTTCGACGAAGAACGGACCTTCGTCCTCCGCCTGCCACCAAAGTCGACGTCCACTCCACCGACCGCCGCAGCTCCATCCATTCCCGTGAAACCTCTACCAGGCGCAGCTTTTTTTTTTTTTTTTTTTTAAGACGGAGGAAGTTAGGGTTTTATAGGTGGGAAAGGATTCCAAAATTCCAAATGGCGGTCTTTTTTTCGCTTCCAGCTTGGAATATCGTAGATGGAGTTGGTTGAGAGAAGGCCGGGAAGAAAACTGCAGAGCTGCTCTTCCACAGATCTTAATGGCACCGCATCATAATATCAGAGCCACGTGGCGTAAAGGATCATGGAAGATTACATGGCGAGCGGTTTATAGGCCAATGCTGCCGGTCGTTTGACTGAATAAGCTGCTTCTGGAATTTCGGAGCTGGTCTTAGTCGTTTTCGTGGAAGGAAAAATGCTTTGAAAACAGGTCACTTCAACATGTAAAAAATAAATATTTTTTCTTCGGCAATAATTTTGGCCGACAAGCGAGTCCAATAAGTTTCGCATGCGCATATCAGAGGGGAACTTCAATCATAAAAAATAAAGAGTCTTTCGTAGAAAATGAAAGAAATATGAGTGTATGAACCATTTGTTATCATGATAATTTAGAATTATATATATAGAAACTTTTTTAAAATTTCTTAGTAAAAGAGGCATTAAGGTGTTGGAGTTATTTTCAAAAAAATTGTTGGTGATTTGTCTAACTGATCTCCTTATAAGATGAGAGATTAATGACCAAGAGACAATCGATCATAAGTCTTGATGTCAACATTAAGCAACGATTTGGCGTCGACAAACATAAGCATGAATTTCATATATAGCAGGTGGACAACATATATGGTGTAGGTCTCTGGAATGAGTGATAATCTTGTTGGTAGTGAAGGAAGTCAACATTATTCATATATAATAATGGACGACAAAATAGTGATATCCATGATGACATGGACAACATTCATTAAAATTATTGGTCATAGTGGGCGTTGATGATATTTGTGATAGCAGACAACTACATTGGTGTTGATGACGTGTATTAATTTTATTGATGATTTTATATGTTGTTGTTAGCGTTAATGATGTTTATCAATCTTGTTTGGCAATGGAGGGCATTGATGTTAAATGTCGATTGTGTGTATTAACTGTACTTTATTAGTGATGTTAAACATCAATATTGGTGACGAGTATCAATTATATTAGCAATAATAGTCGTTAAGGTGGCAAAAGGCATTAACGTCAGTTTCAACGGCGTGAATCACCTTTATTGGTGATGGTGGGCTTTCATTGGTGTTGACAATGTGCATTGACCTTATAAGTAATAGTGAGCTTTGATGATGAGTGTCAACATTGATCGTCAAATAGATCACTACAATTCTTCAAATATATGTGCTCCCTCCAACTCATCCTCCTCGCTATACATATAATGGGCATATTTATATATATTTATGAATTGCCATTTATTTACTCAAAAATTTTTGAATACTCAATCAGATGGCCCACATCGATCTATTTGATCATTGACCCTTTCCTGAGCATTTAAGTTTTTGAATGCTTATGAAAGTGCATGAATTTCTCAGTCTAAACACTAATTTTGAAAGTAAGCATGTAAGATCTTTATATTGTTTTGTTCGTTAAATAGTGTCATGAAGTTTCAGCTGTACTTTTAAGTGTATTATTTAAATTCATTTGGATTTAGATCAAGCTACTTTTTACATTGTTGGATTTGTTTTATTGAAACATCTACTTTAATTATTTTATGAATATTCAAGATTCGTGTTCAAGATTTTTTTATAGATGCTGAAATTATTTATATTTATTTATAAATAAAATAGATTATTATTTATATTTTTTTTAATAAATTATTATTTTGTTGAACATAAGATTAATTTTTACAGAAAAAGTTTATACTAATAATTTAATACGTACATTTAGAAAAGCTGTAGCACGGTGGAACTTGCCCTCGGATCTCAGCTCGGTATGGTGTGGCCCCATTTTTTCATCTTCATTCATACCAACAATTATTAGGTCAGGTGATATAATATAGTTCTATGTTCGGACGTCAATAATATATCACCACGTGCTCTTACTCTTTACCGCGCGGCCCCAGGACCCGACTCGGACCGGAACCCGGGAATCCGGGATTGCTATGTTAGCGTATTGCTAGGTATTGCTTGACAATAACGCGAAATACCGCTCTGTGAAGATCAATACCGAGAAATACCAAACAATACCGAGAAAAACTCGGTATTTCTTGGTATTGCTCGGTATTGATTTTCACATAATGATATTTCTCGTTATTATCGAGCAAAATCCACCAATACCGAGCAATACATAGCAATACGCGAATAAAAACCATCCTGGCTCCATTCCGGGTTGGGGTTGTCGGGTCGCGCGGTAAATACTGATAACATGTGGTAATATTTTACTGGGGTCCGAATGTAGAGCTAGGTTAGAAGTGCTGTACATGCATTTTGGGCGTTTCCGGGTCCGACTCTTAACCAGCCGTTGGATTAGAAATTCGAACGGTAGATGACCGCAATACGAATACTTCAAATTCGTATTTATTATTTATTAACATGTACAAGTAATGATAATTACTAATAATTTGTCGCTTTTCTCAGAAATCTAAATCTATAGCCCGTCCTAATATTTGCTTCCCCGCCACTTCGACGATCGTGTCGCCGGTGAAATCTATTGCTTCGTTCTCGATCGTCTTCTTACCAGCTTCCAAGTCTTCCACTCATCTATTTTTCTCTCTCTCGAATTGGCTGGTAGAAGAAGAGAAGAACTGAAGTGCGATGGAGTTTGCTCTCGTTCACTGTCGTCTTCATGGCAATATTAGCCAATTCCTTTCACCCCCGTTCAGGTCCCCGTTCTACGATGATAGGCGCCGCTATAGTTCTCTCAAGGTCGTTCATCCCTTCTTCTTTTTCGGTTAGGGTTTCTTCTCATCGTTGCTTTTGACTGGTCAGTAGTGCACATTTGGTCAAATCTGATTCGTCATTCACGTTCATAGGCTATTTTCATTTGTTAGGGTAGGGTGTCGGTGTAAGCGATGCTTTCATTTATGGTTAGTTATTTTTGACGGAGTTTATGTGAGATTTTAAGCCCAAGGGCCTGTTTGGCATCCCCTTTCAGGCATGATTTAAGCAAGTTTTTCCTTAAATTCTGAAGGATTTGTTAAATCCCACTATTTAATGGTTTAATGGAAACAATAAATTCTACCTTTATCAGGATTTAACAAGATTTAACACTATTGTTGACAAACGATTTTCGGTGCTTGAGGTGGGTTTTGATAGTGATTATTTGTATTAGGTGTGAGCGAAGGTAGGGGAACCCAGTGAAAGTGATTTACTGTTTGGAGGGCTTTGGGAAGGTGGAAATCCAAAGACCTATAAAGGGATAGCGTGCTTTGAGCTTAAAAGGGGTTAGGTGAGCAGATATAATGGATGTACGTATTCTATGGATAGTTTAGGATGTTAAAAAAAGGTTGCAAGGGTTGTTAGGGGTTATATATAAAAATTTTGAAGTGAAAGAAGGACATATTGGTTGCATTATGACTTATTTTGTCTAACTTGAACAATTTGGGGAGATCAAGGGAAGAAAGTATTGGAACTTAGAAAGAAGTTCAAGAACACTTGAGGTAGATTAGAAACAAACATCACAAGAAATAAAAGCAAAATAATAAAGATAAACCTCACCAAAGAGGGGTTGTTCTAAATGATCTTACCAAAAATAAATAAAAAACCACCAAACTTTTCTAAGGATAAAGAATATTTCTCTTATTTGGTTATTATTTCACTTAAATGTCATGTTCTTGTATATTACATGATATATATACGCATTACACATTTGTAGAAGATAACAAATAAAATGAGCATTCAAATTGTAACAGATTCACTTTGGAACTTACTTTTGACTTCAAAACTTTACTTTGAAATTCAAAGATATATAATTCCATATAGTGGAGTTGTTGTAAGATGGACAACCCTCTAGAATTCTTAAAAAATAACTGAACATGCTTATTTTGACTTAAACTTTGATGAGTTGGCAAAGGTGATGTGACATGTGGACCTCGCTTGGACTAAAGTACTAGTTCACAATATTTCTTTTTTCAATTATGGGATTCTTACATTATAAATAATACTCTTCTTGAACTGAAATGAAAAGCAACCTAGTGAAAATAATAAAATATGATAAAGTGTAAGAGAGATAATGTCATCTAATAGTCATATCCTACATCAATTCTCTTCAAGTTCAGGAATTCTACCCTGTATAATTAAATTGGTGGTGTTGAAAAGAATTGAAAATGTAAATGGATTAGTAATCATAATGTAGTAGGAGGAAATATGCGAACACTAAGGTGCAAATAAAATGCACTATAGGAAAGTTAGTTGCAGCGAATTTGCGATAGATTTTATGGCGAAATATTGTTTGTCGAAAATGTCAACGGATTTGCGATGAAAATTTTAGTCGAAATTTTTGGATGGACTCTGCGGGGGATTTACAGCGAAAATTTCTGCCGCAAATCCAACGCAACTCCACCATAAATTCTTCGCAAACTAACATATCTAATTGATTGGTTGTGCATCTGTTTCATTTGCTCGTTCTGTTCTTCAACTTAGCTCTTCCGCCCTTTCTTCCTTTTAGACTTCGGCTTCGACTTTGCTCTTTGACTTTATCTCTACCGTCGCTTGGTTTATAGGGTTGCATCTCCACTTCTCCGGCTGTTCGTTGCTATTCGACTTGCATGAGAGGTTGTTTTGAATGAGTCGCTAAATAACTTTTGTCTCCTTCGACAACGTTCCTTCCTGTCGCATCTGAAGTCACACCTCCTCGCCATTCTTCAGTTGGATCAGAAGGAACAAGGACAACAGGAGCTTGGTTGTTGCGAAGGTATCGATCTTTATTCCTTTTGTGCACTTCTTCGTCCAAATCCCGTAAATCCACTGAACTCCTGGATTAAGTAAATCTGGGATTTACGACAAAAAAGAGGGAAACAGATGATTTAATTTGTTGTGAGAATGACATACATGAATTGTATGATTCTTTGGCATATATTAATTGTGTGCTTCTTTATTCTCAACACCCTAATATGATACATAAACCAATCAACATAACTTCATATTCTAAAGAATTTAGGGCAATTTCATAGAATCAGGACATATAGAGCACAATTTGGTCAAATTGGATAAACTAATATAATGGTTTTGAGAATAGTTATGTAGTTCTGATCAAACGGGTGATCATATACATTAATTCTACTAACATTATTCTCACTATGTCTCTTATTAAAACAAAATATTAAAAAATCATCTTATTAGTATAAAAAATCATATTTGTCTCCTACATGGCGGCCAATAATCATCTTATTAATATAAATTTATTTAAAAAGTTGAATAATTGATATAAGGTGCTATTTTTTTGTTTATGCTATAGATTTTCAGCGGAAATTTTGCCACAAACAACGATACAATGCATCTTTATCGCTAATTGTGGCAGATTTGCGGCAGAAATATCTGGCGCAATTAACAATGTAAATTGCGGCGGGCATTATGGGGGGGGGGGCACGTGCCCCCCCTAAAAAAAAATCATGCATATGGTACAACCCCTTATGAGCTTTCATTTTATTTTTTACAGGCTTTTTCCATTTCAAGTCTTCAATCCACCTTCTAACTGGAACAAACAATGCTTCAACTGTTAAAAAAAAATCATCCATTATGGTAAAACCCTTTGTCAACTTTTATTTTATTTTTAACAGGCTTTTTCCATTTCAAGTCTTCAATCCACCTTCTACTCGGATCATGGCTTCAGTTGTAGAGAGAGAAAGACTAATGGGGTAAAATTTTGAAAGAGAGAGGGAGGAATGACTTTCCTGTGGATGGATTGACAGAATGATGAAAATTTTTGTGGCTTAACAGAGCAACAAGTTCCCCAACGAGCAGTGGGATTATGGCTTCCATCTTGCCATTCGTCATATTTATATTTACTCCTCTGAATTTCAATTTCTCCAACTAGATTTACTTGAGTAATATGGTTCTATTTATATATATTTTTTAAGTTCACCAACGAGGAAATTTGCTCTAATTTTTGTAATTCTTTCTTTTAAAGTTATTTACTAATCCAGACAAGCCATCAAAATTTTTTTCTGGACACATGAAAAACATCAATGGTTCATTTTTCCCTTTGCTCCTCTCTCGCGACTCACTACTTCGAGCACGGTTTTTGTTTTACCTTTCGCTCCTCTCTCGCCCCCAAACAAAGACCGCCCTTGGCAAATGTTTATTCTAACATTCCAAATGAGACGAAAAACATAATTGTTTTAAATTAGTCCCCCTTGAATAATATTTTTGGCTCTGCCACTGGCAGGCATAGCCTCCGTGATGCTGTCGCAAATTGCGGCGGTATTCTTGTCGCAAATCCTTCGTAATTTCGCTGTTATTTGCGACGAAATTTGTGGCGGGCGACGAAATTTGTAGCGGCCTACTATAACGAACACATAATTTTTTTGAGTTTAAATCCTTCGTAAATTTGTCGCAAAATATATTTGTGACTAATTATGTCCGACGCAAATATATTTCCGACATGATTTTTGCGTCGGAATATATTCTGCTGCAAATTTGCTGCAAAGCATATTTAGCGGCGGATTTTGCTTGTTTTGCTGTGGATTTGTCCGTCGGAAAATACTTACTTTTCTGTAGTGATTAAAACAATGATTTAACATAAGTTAAGATAACCATTTCCACTTAACAAGCAGAAAGAAAAAAATTATAATGTAATCAACAATTCTAGAAGGGTTTATCTAAGTAACCAAACCAAGGATATGCAAAAGTGTCCATCAAGCCCTTAACTTCGTGAAGAGTTAAGAAATAATAGTTCAATATCTTTCATTGCAATTTTTTTTATCACATAAAAACAGTTAAATTATAATAAATTCACGTTGAAACTTGCTTCTAATTTTGTAACTCAATCTTTGAAATTCAAAAGATATTTAATTACATTCAATGGAGTTATTTTAAGATAGACAATCCTCCAAATGTCTCAAAAGATGATTATGCTTATTTTTTGACTTTGATGACTTACAAAGTGAGGTGGCAAAGGTGACATAGCATTATAGACCCTCCTTAGACTAAAACTTAGCTCAAATTATATATAATTTTTTTTAAAATTTTTTTGACATTTTGATATCATAAAAAATATTCTCCTTGAATTCTGATAAAAATAAAAATAATAAAATACAATAAAATATAAGTGAATCAATGTCTACTAGCGGTCATGGATCTAGTGATTGGTATAAGCTGAACTTATCCTCTGTTAGAGGTAGAGGACTCTAAAATCTAGAATTGCCTAGCATTATGTGATTGCCTAACTTGCTCTCCCAAAATTGCTTATTGAATTACATGTCCTACATCAAACAATTTATCTTTATTTTTTGGCATTAGGCAAGGACGACATTGCAGGATGAGCTATAGATAAATTAGTCTAGTATGGAGGCGTCACATTGATTTTTGTAGCTGATGATGTACATATGTATAGTTAAGCCTTTGGAAGAGTTTTTGACCAAGTTTCCCCATCGAGTGCTGCCTATCGGTTGTCACCAAATGAGTAGACCTATTGAGTACTGCGTGTTGAGTAATATTAATCGGTTGTTTGTTTAGTGTACCTGCTAAGTATTATAATTGGATGAACTATGGCTAGTTGGTTATCTCTCGAGTAATTGTTGAGTAATGTGAGCTGAATTTTGCTAGTTAGTTGTTGTGTGCTATCCTATTAATGATCCTACAAGTCATCTAGGTCAACTTGTCTATTTGAATTGATCGGTTGACAATATTTTTCAACATTTTTGTCTTTACATGATGAATCCATACAACCTAATAAGGACTATGATTTTGAGCGTCTTTATATTTAAATGCCTTATAAGATGATTTTGGACAACATAATAAGGATGATTTATAGGTTTAAGATTATTCAATCTAATTTAGCTACCTTGACATGGGTGATTTAATTCCCGGTTCAACCAATATATCTAATCTTGACTTGATTTACTAGGCTCAGGTGAATATTGGGGTGCACAAAAGAATATATCAAATGTCAAATGGTAAAAGTCGCTATTTAAATGTTTATTGCTTGTGATGTTAAGCATTTGAGCGAGTTGCCTTTGTAAAAGAATGTTGTAGCTCAAATACTTAACACCTTGACAAAGTAAATTCATTATTAAAAAAATACAAACTTTCAGGTTTATCCTGTCATATCATAGCTTTTAAAGTCAATCATTGAACCTGATTCTCTCAGCATCAGGTTCAAGTACCAAAATAAAATCATTCAAATATCCTGATGATGATCATGTTGACTGAATATATCAACTGAGGTGGGGGATTATATCTTTCAAAATGCCCCTAAATTCGAAGACTAGTTATTGTGGGGCTCGAATCCAAGTAGTCCACGATAGAGCTATTTTGGTTCTTTTTTGAGGAGTTGAGGGACCAAAAATGTCATTTAATATAACAACAACAACAACAACAACATCAAGCCTTTATCCCACTACGTGGGGTCGGCTACATGAATCCTTTTTCTCCATTGTGTCCTATTAAAAGCCAAATTCTCGTTTAAATCTAATAAAGAAAGGTCATTCCTAATATTTTCCAACCAAATCCTAATATTAAAAATGTCATTTAATATAGTTGAGAACTATTTGATCTTTCATAAAGAGTCAATTGACCATTTTGATTCTTAAAAATATAGCATCTAAAAAAATGTTACAAAATACTATACTATCAATAAGTGAAATTCATCCCATTACAAATTTAAAGCAAAAATTCATCCATCTTCCATCTTTATTCATCGAAGGAGATAAATTTAATACTAATCTCAACTCACAAAGTGTAAATGTCTTATCGAGTATAGCACTTCAATTCATTCTCAAATGATATTTTGCTAGGAAGGGTATAATACGTATCATTTAACCGATGATTTGCCGTCAAATAACACCATATGTAAATCATTATGATCGGGGTCCTCTAACTGAATGATTTCGTTATAAAATGACACAATTAAATTATAGTCACAATTAGAGCTCGCAAGTTCTCCAATGATTAAATTTTTTTAGTAATGAATCTTAAGGTGCACTTGATGTGATATGAAGCCTTTTGTTAGCTATAATTAACTTAAATATATCATTTTAGACGAACATTCATCCCAGGTCTATAAGTTTCTATGGATGAAGCAATCCATACTGCCAACTAGAATCCTTCCGTCAGGTTGGGTTGCTTACTCTAACTAAGTAGACCATAGTACATGACAACCTAAGCTGACAAAATAGTAAGATCTTAATTGTGATCGTCATCATCCACATTAATTTAAAGGAGTAAATTTTCGACTCTACAGTAAATTTACATCTATTATACATTAAGCATTTATCTTTTCAACTCTACCTAAACCTTATCAAGAAGTATAATTAACCGTTGGGGATCACACCTCCATTAAATGTTGGGCTTTTATTGCTGGTTTTGGATCATGGTTTGCAACCTCCAATGGAAGGCCCTTGCTTGGCTTTGGGGCGGATGTGCGAGGCCTCTTTCCTGAGCCCGAATCTTTGGTTCTTTTTATCTTCTACTGTTGTATTTTGATTTACTATTTGTTATGTAGTTTGATTTTTGGTTCATTATGTTCCTCATAACTCCTTTACTGTTGCTCTTGGGAGCATTAGTGAGCTTTGTCTTTTATGTACTTGTATCCTTTTCTTGTTTAACATATAAGCCCTTTTGGAATTTTATTAAAAAAAAAAAAAATCGTAGGGGATCGCACCTATGGGAAACCTAAAACCAAATAATAAAATCCTCGTAAAGTGAGTGAAATCTCTGGGTGGTATTTTATTATAAATATAATTTACCTTCTAGAACACCCTAAAATCTCAGAGTCCAGGGCTTGAATTTTCGGAGCTCTCAAAGTTTATATATATTTTATATATTTACATATAGGTATGTACATATAAACTCGATTTATAACTTTGATTTTTTTTATTAATAGGTTTGGCTGAATTAGCTTGAAAATCAACTCAAACTCAATCATTTATGACTTTACTTTAACTTGGTTTGAACTAAAATCAAAATTTTCAATTTTGCATGGAGGTTAGCTAGCTCAAACTTGACTTGATATGACATGTTATTGTATACAGAAAAATCTTTAAAATAATGTTTGTTACTAAATTTTTTAGACAAAAACTAAAAATAAAAACTTAAGAAATGATGCCAATCATTTGGTAACCCAACGACTGGCTCTAATACGACAAATCTAGCCGGCAAAGGGTGTCAGGCCCCAGCTAGGTCAACAACTGGTGGAATGGGTTGTGGCCATGGGTAACCCTTCCCATGACTAGCAGAGAATGGGCGAACTCACGCAATTAAGCTGGCTGTGTGTTCAAGTTGGTCGGATTAAAGTCAGGTCGGGTTAACTTAGATTATGAGAAATGAAATTTTATTTTTTAAGCAAAATTTTCACTATTTTTAAATTAAATTACTCCTTAGATTTTGATGAATTGGTTATTAAATTTATTTGCAGATGAATATATTTAATATTTTGGAATCATTTAATAAAATATAATTTGTTAATATAATTTATTAATTTAATTTATTAATGGGCAAGTCTTTTAAACGACTTGCCCCTTCTTGTATATTAATTTAATTTATTAAAAACGACTTGCCCTTCTTGTATATTAATTTAATTTATTAATTTTACTATAATATAATTTACTAATTTACTTTATTAATTTTACTATAATATAATTTTCTAATTTAATTTATTAATTTTTCTAAAATATAATTTGCTAATTTAATTTATTAATAGTTAAGTCGTTTCCTTTTTAAATGATTTTCTCCCTTCTAATTTATTAATTGAACTATAATATAGTACCGTGAATTGGAATAATTTAGTTAAAATTAAATTAAATGGAGCCACTCGCTAAGAAACGCAACTACTTACCTTGGCCAGTCATCTGAAGCGCAAATGACTTGCGCAGATGATCCCACCCCACCTGCCATCTAGCTCCTGACCCGCGATCGACCCATCCCTCCTACTCCGCGACCAGACACGTCCATCCAAGCCTATGATCCGACCCATTTGCGCCTGAATAAAAACTACCGACCAGCTATGCCCTCTATCACGTGGATTTTGCCCCATTAGAGCCAGTTGTTGGTTTACCAAACGACTAACATCATTTCTAATTTTTTATTTTTTATTTTGTTTTTGCCAAAATAATTAGTAACAAATATCATTTTAAAAACTTATCCTATTGTACACTTATTGTAGCATGTAGTTATCATTTCTCGAGTCAATCAAAATTTTCTATATTGGCATGAATGTATCCTTTTTTAATCAAAATTATGCATATTCACATGCTTAAGTGTTTTTTTTCTTTTTATTGCACGGATTTCATCAATAACTCGTTTTTTCAGTATTTTTCATAACCGATAACATCACTGTAGAAATTACTATTAGTAATGTTCAACTAACATGGATTACGGCAAATCAGACTATTTTGGGGATGACAAGATGATGTAGACAAAAGGGGGGGTCAACCCATGTCCAAAATAAATCAATTTTGACCTCCCTCGAGTCTACAAGCTCAATAAATTTTGAGCTGGAATTTAGCTCATTTATGAGCTGGTGTTTAGTTCATTTATTGAACTAAAGGTTAGCTCATTATTAGCTAGGTTTTAGTTCATTAATTGTCTTATTTATATAACTTTTATTTATAGTTTTAAAAGTTGAGTTTGTTCCTTGGGATTCCAAAATGGCTTTTGGAATCCCAATGTTGGTTGTTTTTCGTGCTTGGCTCATTGGTTCCCACGGATTGGCTCTTGGTTTCCCGTGGATGGCTCTTGGAATTCCGTGCCTTGGCTCCTTGGTTCTAGCGGCTGCTTCTTCGGTTCCTGGCTGGGCTGTTTCTTGTGAATGAATGGGGGCTCTTCCGTGGCTTTGGTGCTTCGTTTCCGGGAAGTGACTATTGGCTTTTCATATTCCATATTTAAATAAGCTTTTAAATTAATGTTGCGGCTATTTGTATTCTCCTCTCATGCCTATATATATGAGTTGTTTGTAATGTTTTAGAATATGTTATGTGATGTGATTTTTGGAAATGTAAACCTATGAGTTTCATGGAAAAGCTTGCGAGCTTTGTCCGTCTTCTTTCTCATCCCCTCCGAAAATCTTGCAAGCTCTTTCCAACCTTTCGTCTTGGCTTCTAACCTCTTTCGTCTTTCCGCAAGTGCCACTCCACCTGTATCCCTCTTCTCTATGTGAAGCAATTTTAGGGTGTCTTGTTTGAGTCAAAGTTTATAAGTCTTTCATTTTTATAATATTAAAGTTTGTTTTAAGCATTTTATGTCTTTATTTTGTATCTAGAAAGGTTGTTCTTTTTGTGATAAAAAAATATAGGGTCCCCTATATTTTTTGTTGGCGTCACAAGATATACCATAGACATATGGATTTACATTTATATGCTTCATGTTTTTTATTATTGTAAATGAGAATATGTTATGTTCTTTCTTTTGTTGCAGATTCAGAATAATCTTCATTTCATGTCTTCCACGGTTTTGATGGAACCAAGTGCAAGATGTCAAGTCAGTAGATCAAGCACTTTTCAGTATGTATTTATGCATTGGATGCAACATACGCTCATCTTATACAAACAGCTTTAACTTTTTTTTTGCAGTGCCATTTGCCTTCAATATAGTTGTTAAAGTTGATATTTACGTCTCTCATCTGGCCTTTTTGCGTTCAAATACCTTTGCCAAACTGAAGTAGTCTGTAAATAGTCAATGCCGTTGGAAAAAAAATAAAAAAAATGCTTGTATGTATTTTTTTTTTGTATGTATTTTTTTTTTTTGCACTCATCTCTCATAAAAATGTGTTCTTTTTAGTCCTGCCCTCATTCTCTCCCATTTTTGATACTAATATGGGGATCATAACCAGCAGGTGATCAATAAATAGTCGATAATTTTGACCTTTCTTTATTAGATTTAAATAAGAATTTAATTTTTAACAGGGCACAATGAAGAAAAAGGATTCATAGCCGACCCAACATAGTGGGATAAAGACTTGTTGTTGTTGTTGTTGTAGAGTGCCAACAATCTTGATGCGGTTGTTTCCCTAATCTATTGTCGCTAATTCATTATTGTCTTGGGAACCGTAGCAAAGCCAAATCAAGGATTTTCCTAACACCTCCATTTTTTGCAATGTCCTGTAGCTAGCTACTCGCTAGAAACTACTATTGGCGTCTCTTGCTGCTGCAATGTTGCTGGAATAGTCATTGTTGTGCTGTGCTGCTTGTTATATTATCGTTCTCTTTGTTGAAGTGCAGCTGGGTTCCTCTGTTACCGGTGGTTGTGGTTGCTTTGTTTCCACCATGGTACTCAACTTGCTGGTCTCTTGGTGAGAAAACAGAGGACAACTTGCTGTGAACAACAAAAGAAACTCCAAAAGCATTCTCAAAACATTTTCGGAGTCTTGTTAGTCTCTTATTATGTGGTTACGTAGCAATGTTTAAAGCTTTGCTACTGATCAAGTTGATATTAGAGAACCAATTATACCTACGTGCATGATAGGAGTGAAAAAAAGGCTACCAAAAAAAAAATAATAAGGGAGGGTCACTTGTCTTGGAGATGCATTGGAAGTCAAGAAAGAGATTAAAAAAAAAGCAGAAGAAAGACGAGCCATAGTGAACAACAATTCCACTACGAATCTACAAGTGGCTAGACTAGCAAAGCTAATGACCACAATGACTAGTGACTAAGTTTTAATTGACCTTCTTTCCATGCCAGATACAAATATAAATAGAGAGGTTGAAGATGAGGACATGACTACTATTCATGAAAGAAGGTTGTAGCCATTTAAAGTAGGAGCTAATGTGGAGATTTCTATATATATATGATGGGATAGTTGATGCCAAAAACGCGATGCATGGATCAATCAGTTGGATGCCAACTTCACTTTGTATGGGTATGATACCCCCATGACAAGCTTGTCTCCATCTTACTGAAACTAAGTGTTAGGAAATGGATGCTGAAATCTACTTCCCCTTGGTTGAAATTAAATTATAGCAATCCAAATATAATCTCCAAGACGAATTTAAGAGAAATAACTGAAGAAACTCTTTCTAATTGATGAAATAGGGAAGAAGATAAACAAGATATAATGGACCCTCATTTCAACGGGAAGCACTGAGGGAGAAAGGTGGGGGGAATTCGCCCGGGGGGCCCAACCTTAAGGTAGGATCCCTTGGTTTGGATATACATTAAAACTTTTTCGTCAAATATGTACATCAGTGAATACTCAACCAGGGAAAATTTAGTTTTATCTGCTGATAAAAAGCGTTGAAGTTTAGTGCATGCCTATTGATGTAAATGGTAGTGAAGCGTCCAAGTTTTTCCACTACTACCGTGAAAAAAAAATTGCAGATTGTGAGTTTCCTATGCATGATTGAACAGATGCCCTAGCCCTCTCAGTAATCAGACCAGTGCTTTGGAGCCAAAATGTTATTTCGGATTTGGTAGTGACACACCAATCTTGGTAATATGAATTGTTTTTTAGGTTTGGATCGGTCTATATAGAGTTTTCTCGGTGCACATCAACAAAAAATGTAATCTAGACGTGTTGTCAGGTCAATTAAAGGATTCAGGTTGGAAATGTTGCCCAAGTCTGTACATGAATTGAGCGCGCATATCTTTTTGGATGGATCCGTGGGATTGTGCCTAGATCTAGTTTAACTGAATTAAAAGTGCCGCTTTCTGATTTGGGTGATTCCTTTTCTTTTAGCCACTACTTTGTGGAGGAGTTCTTAAGTCTTGTTGTCTTATTTGTGCAGTACTTCTTGTGGCACAATTTTATTCGTACCCCTGCATTGCATCTTTTGTCATCAATCTGAAGCACTTTTTGATGAGTATTATTCATATGTTGCAGGGAAGCCTCTGAATTGGCAAACATAAACTGGGACAATATTGCATTTTTACCAATACCAACTGATTTTTTGTATGCTGCCAAATCTTTGGAGGATGGAATTTTTACGAAAGGTCAGTTGCAGCGATTTGGACCCATTCATATGAGCCCATGTGCTGGGGTCTTAAATTATGGGCAGGTTAGTGGTATATCATTGTGTCAATACTTTCTAGTCAGTTGCTTTCGGCTTTGTCAGTGATTTCTCACTTGTGGCTACACTTAATTCTTTTGGTCGACTGGGTACGAGCTTTATTGAACTCCAGTTGGTTAAGTTATTAAAAGAATTTATTTTTCGTAACCCCTCCTGTGAAATTCTGCTCATGTGTTGACAACCTGCTTAAATTTCTTAGCTTGGCATTCGGATTTTAAAAATTCATCCTACAAAACCAGTGCTTTTCCTCATGAGGCAGTTCTATGCATTTTGAGTTGAATGTTCATGATATGACTAACTGATATTTAGTCCCACGACATAAGTGGCGTCACTTTTTTTTTTTGGTAAGAAAGAATCGTGTAACAATATTACACTCATTTATTGTTCAGGGTTTCAATTTAAAGAACAAACAAGTTCGATGCATGATATGATTTCCAAGACTTTGAATATGTATAACTGGTGTATTGACATTACGTGCTGGAGAACCTTTCTTGTTGTTTTGTTTGAAAAGATTTTTAGTATTCTTTTAAAACGAATCACCTTAAATGGTTTGGTCCCATAATACATCGGATTTCCAATGACCATGTTCGTAGAGTAGATATATTATATATAGCTTATATTAAAAAAAAAGTAGAGATAGATCCAAATAGATTTTGGTTTGAAAGTATTAAAAATGATAATTTTTATTAGATTTATATGAGAATTTGACTTTTAATAGGATACAATGGAGAAAAAAGATTCATATAGCTGACTTATGCAGTAGGATAAAGGCTTTGTTATTGTTGTTGTTTTTACTCCAGGGAGTATTTGAAGGTATGAAAGCATATAGGAAAGCAGATGGATCTATTCTTCTCTTTCGCCCAGAGGAAAATGGTTTGAGAATGAGGATGGGTGCTGAGCGGATGTGCATGCCTGCGCCAACTGTTGAGCAGTTTGTGGATGCCGTAAAACAAACTGTTCTGGCTAACAAGCGTTGGGTATTGTCCAGTTCATGGTTCTAGAAATAACATGAAGGTAACCAATGTCTTTCCCGTATTAAATCTATTTTGCTTAAATGCAGATTCCCCCTCCTGGTAAAGGATCATTGTACATTAGACCTATGCTCCTGGGTACTGGATCTGTCCTTGGTCTAGCACCAGCTTCGGAATACACCTTTCTTATTTTTGTATCACCCGTTGGCAATTATTTCAAGGTTTGCCTAAGAACTATTTAAGTTATTTCATGCAGTTCTTGCATTCCATAACAAGAGATTATAATTTCTTTTTTTATTACTTATTTTATCGCTCACATGTTACCTTTTTTATAAGAAAAATAAAAAAGCTCATTACAATAGCAATCCCCATACTTTTGATAAATTGGAATTTTGTGTAGAATGATGATTGGTCAATATTTTCATCTATGTTGCACCGATACACCTATTTATAAAGGCGCGCTGTATCCGATACACCGATACAAGGATATGCCTCCGATACATGTCAAATACGTCAAAGCCGTATCCAATTAAAATACTATTTAATTTCAAAAGGACAAATGTATCTGATACGCGTGTCCGTTGAAAAACAAAAAGAAATCTGAAAAAAGACACATCGTATTTACTTCCGCTACTGCGAGCAAGGTTCTCTCATTTCCGAGATGGATTTGAGTCTCTTGATGATATGGGAATATTAGAAATTACTAATCTTTCACTTGATGAGCCTAAATTAGAAGCTATGATATTTATTGAAAATGATATAGAAGTTCAAAGACAAACCACTGAAGAAGCTAATCATATCATTCCTTCTAATGAATAGTTGAAATTTCATGTGCTAGACAATTTATATTTATGCTTTTGTTGTTATACTAGACATTTAATGCTTACTTATATTTTGATATTATAAGCTACAAGGCTACAAATGATGTTGTTGTCATTTTTGTTTTGTAATTTCAAATTGTATGCTTTGATTGCTTTCTTAATTTTTGTGTATGATTTATAAATTATAATGCCGTGTCCGCACCGTACCCGTATCCTGTATTTTTAAGAATTGACATGTATCGTGTCGTAACCGTGTCGACGTATCTGTATCAGTGAAACATAGACTTTCATTTTCTTGGTTATTCAGCTTGGTTTTTTACAACCATGCATTTGATTATGAACAACAATTTTAAATAGGTGAGAAGATCATCTCACCTATTCAAAATTGTTGTTCCTTGTTTATTCTCTTTAGTTTAACTACTAATTGATTAAAACCAGTTATGCTCTTTGACATAATGAAATAAATCATCAGAAGTCACTGATTGCTTTGTATCTTCAAAACATCAGGAGGGTTTAGCGCCACTAGATCTGATAATTGAAACAGAAATTCATCGTGCTATTCCTGGTGGCACTGGTGGTGTAAAGGCAATTGGAAACTATTCTCCGGTAATCACCTGTTAGAAACCACTTAATCGTACATTACCGATTGCTGTAAGTTTTTTATTGTTTCCCCCCCCCCCCCCCTCCCCCCCCCCCCTTAAATATCCTTATTTTATTTATTTTTGGTATGTTTCAATTTGTATCAGTGCAAGCTGTTGCTTTATTAACGTGGTCAAATTTATACGAATATACTTGAAATGTTTGTCGCTAGAGCAGTTACATCTTTCTATTTAGTTTTATAGGAACTAACATGATACTGAAACTAGCTGATACTATGCATTCTGTTTTGTGCATTAAGGAACAATCTTAATCCACTTTTGTAGACTTATGTATCTTATATAAAGCTGCTACTATGCCCACTACATTACATGGATCTAACTAACTAAGTGTTGAGAGTGATAAATGAGTCACTAGTAGCCAAATTGAATGTAAATGAAATAAAAACATTAACATGTGGTTAAATCTGAGTGATGGCTTGAAAACTGAAATTTTTTTGAATGATAGTAAGAGTAGAAGACAATATAATAAAAATTAAATTTAAGTGATTTGAAAATCTATATAAAATTATAGAAGATGAAATAATGAGGGTAGATAAATTTAATGTGAAAGGATTAGTAAGAAAAACGAGCATGACTAGAAGTTGGTCATAAAGATTTGTGCCAAAAAAAAAAAGCTGATACCTCATGCAACACTCCACATGAATTCATGGAGAATCTGAATTTTTAATGTCAGCGAAATTGTTGGGATAAGGCATATGATGATGGTGCTTTAAGCGGCCCATATTTGTGTGTTGTGCTTGTATTTTTTGTTCGACCAGAAAAAAATAGCAAATTCAAGAGGGCCCTGCCTTGTGAGGAAGGGTTTGTGGTAAATATAATGTTTTTGCCGAACAAGAAGGTTAAAATGTCAGAAGAGTAGAATATCTCTTCGGGGTAATCATTATTCTAGTAAATTTATCAGATTTTCCCTGCTTTTCAGATTCATGAGGTTGTTTCACAATTCACTTAATTGGCCAAGGTTGTGTATATTTTAAATCGAAGTATTACATTGTTTTTATTGTACCCTTCTTTCAATACAGATGGAGCTGAACATCTCTTGTTCTCCTTGTAGTATAAATTGGATTTTTGTTGTTCTTGTGAAAAACTCCAACCAATTTAGTCTGTCTAATGCTGCTTGAAATTATGCATATTTATTTTTCAGGTTTTGAAGGCACAATCAATAGCCAAGGACAAAGGATATTCTGATATTTTGTACCTTGACTCGGCTCACAAGAAATACGTCGAGGAAGTTTCATCCTGTAATATTTTTGTTGTTAAGGTACAGATATATATTTGTCATGTCAACTCCTCCCACCTCCATCTTATTTTTTAAAAGTATTCAAGCTAAATGGCTGGCCTCATTGGGTGATTAGATGATTAAGTATTGTTTTTATAAGCTGCATTTGATATTATCCATCCGGCTTCCCCATCAGTTTTATTTTTTTGGTTTTTGGGCTTTCTCTTATTCTTCCTCTGGCTATGTTTATGATATATTTTTAGCTTCGGTCTACTTTAAATGTACTTCAGTTTTTCCTGCTCTAGATCCATAATTTTTCCTTTAAATTATTTTTGTGCTTACTTTGCACATTTCTAACTGACTATTTCATTATTCTAGCATAACATTATATCAACTCCAACTGTAAGTGGAACAATATTGCCCGGGATTACAAGGAAAAGTATTATCGAGATTGCTCGAAGGCAAGGTTTTCAGGTATTGAATTTATCAAATTGCTTCTTACTCCGTGGTCCTCTAACATATTATTTCAGCCATTACAGTTGGATTTGACTCGCAGCTGAAATTATGCTTTCTAAACTCAAAATCTTCACATTCAAGTTATCCTAATATTATAAACATATTGGTGGGTAATCCTAGAGCTGATGTAAGGTTGCCTTTGCTGGGATTTGAAATTTGCATGTTCAAATCATGGAAACGATGCTTTTGAACGCAGATTTGTAGTCTTGTATTTCAATCCTTGCTTAGATTAAGTACTCAATCCATCTTCAGAATCTACATTGGTAGGAGCTTAGCTTTGTATAAAGCCTTTGTGGCAGTAGTCGTACATCATAGTCATGGCTCTATGTGATCTTGCTTTGATGCTTCTATGGCATGACCAAGTGGTGCGTACAGGCCAATGCACTCCTTACACCCTACTATTTACATTTCAGATATTTCAAATTAAATATGATAATTTTTTTTTTAAATTGCCTCAACTGTTTTTCCAAGCCCAATAATTTTGGCAAGGCTCTCTTGCCCATAAAGGATGATGCTTCTGAGTTTTGACGTTTATAAATTTTCTGAATTACAGCCTGCAGTGTGCTTGAGTTTAGTCTTACGGTTTTGTTTTCCTTTTAAGGTTCCTTTTACCATTGTAAAATTCTATTAAATTGGCTTATTTTTTATGTTTTGAATCTTATTCTTCTTAATGAATAATGAAGAAATAATTGTGAAGGTTGAGGAACGGCTTATTTCCGTAGAAGAATTGCTTGTTGCAGACGAAGTTTTCTGTACGGGAACAGCTGTAGTTGTATCACCTGTGGGAAGCATAACATACCTTGAAAAAAGGTAAATTATTAATTTTATCTTTTTTTTTTGGCGCCATTAAAACAAATTTTAGTCTTGCCATCTTACTTTTTTTTTTAATACTTTTATTTCAAGTTATTACAGAAGATAGAGAAAATGATCAAAATAATACATCAACTCTTTAAAATAGGACTATTTTGGTCCTGTTGAAAAATAACCAAAAATTGAGATGGCCCACGGGTATATCAGAGAAAAAAAAAAAAATAAATATACTATATATATATATATAATTATTATTATAATACATCTATTATTATATATTTATATATATTATATATTATATATATACGGCATTCGAAAAAATTTAGTTCTTCGAACCTCAGACGGAGCGTTTGAACATGAACGCAGCATACCAAACCCTTCTTAATATAGTTACCTTCACAGCGGGCGAAGGCCACTGTCGCTGCGTCTGATCCAACAAGAAGAACGCGAACTTTCCCGACTTCTGATACGACTGAATCAATATGTCGAAACGGGTGATGAAGGCTTTACGACTCGTTCAAAACCTTTCCCACACGAAGCCGCTGATCCAAGAGCACGAGAGATGGAAGGAAAAGAGGAGCAATCATCTAATTAATTTAGGAATTTATTTTAATTAATTTAATTTAAATTTAAATAATTTTAAAGATTAATTAGAGAATAAATAATGTAAATAATAATTAAATAATTAATTAGATAATTAATATTCTAAATAATAATTAGATCATTATTCAAAATAAGAATAGTTGTTATGTAATTATTTAATTTATTAATATTTATAATAGTAATTAGGTAATTAAGCTAGTTAATTGATAGGAAACATTTGAAGATTTCAAGTAAATCCTATTAATTTTGGAAAAAAACAGCTAGAAATTCTTCCAAACTCCAATGAAAATTAGAAAAACATTAATTTTACTGCAAAAATTAAATAGAATGGAAGAAAATAACAAGATACAATTGATCCTCTATTCGAGAGGAGGATCTATCTCTCCCAAATTTCTAGACGCCGCTAGAGCCCAAAAGAAACCTAAGAGTTCTAAAATTTTAGCCAAATTCAAGATACCCTAACCCTAGGAAAACAAACTATTTAATGCATACAATTCAAAAGAAATTCTCTAAACAACTCCTACTTTGAAATTTCCCTCCTAACTCCCTCAAAAATCCTTCCTAAATAGCTTCCTTAGACCCGGCGGCTTGAGCAACACGTATGGGAGAGGCGGAACATCCGCCTCTATTCCGCTTGGGCCACGTGAGCTGGTCCATAAGGGACCGGCTAGATCGGTCTAACAATACTCTCCTCCCAAACTGTCACATTGTCCTCAAGGTGGAACGAAAGAAACTGCTGTTAAACACTTGATCAATAACACTGGACTGAAAATTTGACTGATACTGAGTTGAATGATCTCTGCTTCCAGCATCTCCCTAATCAATCTTTCGATCTCATCCTTCTGGATTTAGGGATGACGATATGGATGAACAGATAGAGGTGAAACTACTTCCTTCAAGATGATAGCATCCTCGTGTTCCCGCGGAGGAGGCAATCACTAAGGCGGCTGAAAAGCCTCACTTAACTGCTAAATCAATGGTTCTACTGAAAGAGGAATGTCGCCGCCCTCCTCCAATCTGATCCCCTCCAGCCTATGTAATTCCATAAGATAACCTTTCCCCACGTCTTGTATGCTCCTCATCTTGGTTTTAAGTAATATCATGGCTTTGATGAGCCCTGCATCTCCCTTTATCACTACTCTCTCCCCCTCCACCACCATCTTTATCTTAATGCCCCCCAGTTGACATTGGTGTCTCCCAAGATTTGCAGCCACTTCATCCTCAGGATGACATCAGTGCTCTCTAGCTCCAATGGGACAAAATTCTCCCTCATCTGAACCCCCTATATAGTCAACATTATCCCTCTATAAATTCCCTGACCCATCTCTACCTTACCTGCATAGTCTTGTATCCACCAATTTCACCCCAAATTGGTTCACAACCTGGTTGGAGATGAAATTGTGGGTAGCCCTACTGTCAATCAACACCACCACCTCCAGTATGCTATTTTACCCTTCACCTTCATGGTATGATTCAAAGTGAATACTACCACTGAATTCAGAGAGACATCCATCATGTCCAGATGCAACTTGTCGTCCATATCTCTCTCTCCCATACTCTCACCTCCCATAGTTTCCTCGTCATCATAGACGGTGAGAACCTGAAGAATTTGATCACTACACTTATGCCATGGAGTATATTTCTCATCACATCTGAAATATAGTCCATTCGCCCTCTTCTTTTGCATCTCCCTCTCCATCAATCTTTTGAAGTTCCCCCCACTTCCTCCTCTTGTTGGAATCTCTCTGGGAATTAATTTTATTAATGTTCTTTGATGCAGGCCCCTTGGGTGCTAGAAGGGTGGTTGTCATCATGTAAGAGCCTCCTGAACTGTTGTCTCTAGCTCCCCTCTCCTGGTACTTCTAATCCTCCACTTGTTGTGCCAGCTTCATAGCCTCTCCCAAGTCATGAGGCCTCACTGCTGCTCGAATCATTGATTTGAGCCGCTTCATAAAATTCCACTCCAAAACAGTCTCTGATAGTCGATCCAAACGTCTTGACAGGTACTCAAATTTCTCCCAATAATCTGCCACTGAACCTTCCTGCACTAGTGCAAAAAACTGCTCATAGAAGTCCTCCCCCCTGTCGGTTCGGAAATATTCTAATAAGCATTCTTTGAACTCCCTCCAACTCTTTATGAGCCTCCCATATCTCTCCACTGGTACCAAGACAACGCCTTCCCCTCCAAACATAGCCTTGTTACTGTCAAATTTTCCTCCTCCATCAGTCCATTGACAGCGAAATACCTCTCCACCTTGTAGATCTACCCATGTGCATCACTCCTTCAAAAATGGGTATCTTCAGCTTCCTCATCTTCTGATCTCCCCCATTTTCCCTTATTCCTCCATAGTTTCCCCTTTCCCAAGTGCTTGGCCCTCCCCATGTCTCCTGATCTTCCCTCCTACGTTCATACACAAACCCCTCTTCGCTTTCTCCCCTCAGCACCCTTTCTTCCATATTCTCCTTTTTTTCTTCCCCAACCAGCACCCCTTGATTCATGCCCCACATACTCATTCCTCCCTCCATACCTTTCACCTTTTTCCTCCATGATTTCCTCCTCATCTTCACTCCTACGAAACTTAAAATTTGTCGTTCTCCCCTCCAGTCCTTTCACCTCTGATGCTGCCGTTTGGATTTGATTTTTCAATTTCTTCACCATCTCATGAAGATCTGAAACCTTACCTTCCACGGATGAAACCTTGTCTTCTACAGATGAAATTTTATCTTCCACCGTTGCTTTGATTTGGCTCATCTCTTTTTCAATGCATTCCTCCACTTCATCTACCTTCTTGGCCGCCATCCGGAATTTTTTTAGGTACAAAAAATATGGATTTTGATCAAAAATAGCAAAAAATTCTTCATTCTAGCCGAAAATTACCTCTGTTTTTTCAGAAATCAGCCACAATTGGTCCCAATATTCACTCTGATACCAATTTGATAGGAAACACTTGAAGATTTCAAGTAAATTCTATCAATTTCGGAAAAAAAAAACAGCGAGAAACACTTCCAAACTCCAATGAAAACCAGAAAAAACAGTAATTTAACTGCAAGAATTAAGCAAAACGGAAGAAAATAACAAGATACAATTGATCCTCTATTCGAGAGAATGATCTATCTCTCCGAAATTTCTAGACGCCGCTAGAGCCCAAAGAAACATAAGAGATCTCAAATTTCAGCCAAATTTAAGATGCCATAACCCTAGGAAAACAAACTATTTAATGCATACAATTCAAAAGAAATTCTCTAAGCAGCCCCTATTTTAAAATTTGCTCCCAACTCCCTCAAAAATCCTACCTAAATAGCTTCCTTGAACCCAACAGCTTGAGCTACACGTACAGGAGAGGCAGAACATTCGCCTCTATTCCGCCTGGGCCGTGTGAGCCGGTCCATAAGGGGCCGGCTGGATCGGTATAACATTAATATCCCTAAGTTATTATTAGTTAAGTTAGATAATTAATATATGACTAAAATTATAACTAAATATATTATTAATTTTGTTTATTAAACAAATAATTATTTTTTTAAATTATAATTACTTGAAAATTTATTTAATAAATAATTTAATTAAAATTTACTAAAATACCTCTATTTTTAGTACCATTAAATCCAACATCCATTAGTTTGGATGTTAGGATCAAAATGGTCTAATTTTAAATAGTTGACTGATCAAATTGATCCCTTAAAATAGATAGGGATCATTTTGATCCCTCCCATAGAATTAAGGAACTATTTTGATCATTTTCTCCTTATGTTAATCTGAGTTAAAATTGCCTATTTATGCATTTAAATATCTTTATATCTTACTTTAAGCTGAACCGCACCCAACTACTTAACCAATCCATGTCAAAAAAATGAGATCAGCTTGGCTGGTTGATAAGGCCTTTGAAGTTGTTACCGAAGTCTTGTGTTTTTAACCTCATCCACTCATTGAGTTTGAATCCTCTAGATTAAACCATCATTTTCTTTTCACCAGGAAGGAAAACAAGAAAGCATCAAGCTCATACAAATATCATTAAATCTTGATTAATGAGATATCATCCTTCATTATCAGCAAATAGATACTGCTATAAGTCAACAGTATCACCAAATTAAGCCATCCTCCTCTTTTGGGCAAATATATTTTCCGATCAGCCTATAGGACCTGGAATATCTCCTTCTCTTTAACCAAAATTTCTTCATAACTGAATATGTATTTTGGGCCAATGTATATTCTGGTCAGTCTAGTACCTAGAAATCTCACATTGTATTTAATCAAAATTTCTACAGAATCAAATATGGAAATGGAGTTGGAATTGTGTCTCAACAGCTCTACTCGGCACTGACAAGCCTGCAAATGGGCTTAACAGAGGACACGATGGGTTGGACCGTCGTACTAGATTAGGCGCCCTTAAATTATTTCCACCTTAGTTTGATGAAATTACCTCTCGGTTTGGTTTTGTTTGTAAAAAATACTCCATGTCACCGTATGATTGAGAAGGACTTTGAAGGAAGAATTATATAATATAAATTCCCTTTCTGTGATCATAGCAGCTCTTGGCCTGTGATTAAAATTGGACAAATGGCTTTCTTTACAGGCACCCATTCCACTGCACAAGTTTTCAAAATATCCATCTGTAACTCTCAAACTCAATAATTCATTTTTTATCGTAATGTTACAGATTCCATAAGATACACGCAAAGAAAATGGGGGACTGGGGGTGGATTCTTCCTGTCTTTATCGACTTGGTACTTAAAAGAGTGATGAGTTATTTTCGGATATAGACTCAATCGAAGCTACATAGAAGTACAAGGCAACCCTTTTTTTTTTGGGTCATATAGACCATAGCTTTCTCTGGTCCTTGTTTTCTCCTCCTTTTTTGCTACTAGTGGAAGAGTTCCTTGCACTAAATTGTTGTTCTGGATCGCTTCTGTATCACTTTCTGATCGATTCAGATTTTTGCTATAGTTTCAGTGCAGAGCTCTGTTTTTTTTTTTTTTTTTTTTGGGAAAAATTTGGGCCAAGCCCATATATTAATAATCAAAATACATGTGAGAAATGTAAAACAAAAAAGCTCCACCAAAAGAGAGCTATCTCAACAAAGCCAAAACAATTAACACCTATAAAAACTCGAAAACAAAAGAAACAACAGAAATGAACAGCCAAATAAACCAAGAATAACCCCAAAAAAAGGAGAAACCTCCAATGCCAGGACTCATAAATAGAATTCAGTCAGGTAATGTTGCACGAAGAATTGTCCTTTGGTTGTCCTAAGACCGTCTAAAGGGAACGTCAGAAGAGGGCCTACATCATTCTCCTGATCATAAAAAAGCAAAACAAAAGCCCTCTTGGCAAAATCGAAAAAATTGGATTCATGCAAACAAACCTAGATCGATTACAGCATACCCAATAGGTCATGTTCATTCTTCCACTTTTAGATTTTGAAGAAAACAACTTTCCTAATTAAGAGAGACGGTGTTGGTATTGTTCATGGAGCTACTAAAATGCCTTTCATTTCTTTCCCGCCAAACAAAGTAGATAGCGCAACAAGTTATAAGAAGATAGAGGTTCTTAACTACCGTGGAGGTGTTGGGTAAATCATAAATTCAAACCAAAAGTTGAGTAACTGTTGGCCTAAGGAGCAGGGCTCTTGAGTTAGGAGTAAGATTAGCAAAAATAGTAAAGGAATAGCTACATTCGAAAAACAAATGGCGGGTACTCTCATTGTACGAGCAGTACAATAAACAAGTGGCATCTATAGGAATATTTCTTTTAATTAAGGCGTTTGTTGTTTTGAGTCCTCCCACAATAAACAACCAGCCAAAAAAGTGAGAACTTCAAAACATTTTGTTTGTGTCAAATAAGGTTCGACCATGAGTAAGAGGGAATCTCTTTGTAGAATTTATTAACAAACTGTCTAAACGAATCAATTCCAGAATTCTCCTACATCAGGCAAGTACCAACATAGTCATATATGGGAATATCATGTATAGTGTTTGCAATAGGTAAAGGTAAGTAATTAGGCAAATTCCAATTCTTTCCACATATGAGTTTTAACTTGAGCATTAGATTGGAGGTCTTGTAATAAAGAAGCAGCAAGCGGGTTAACAATGAGAGCTGCCCCATTACACCAATTGTCCCAAAAAAGAGATATTGGAGGAGTAACCCTGAAGCTAAAGCAGTTTGAAACCTTAGCAGCTGTGTTGCACACAGAATTCCAAAAGGGAGTTGCAAGAGCAAAGGGAGGCCGCCAAGGGGAGGTGTATCTGTGAGTCAGCCAGGCGAATAAAGGAGTGTCACGATTGTACATCATGTTGGCTGCTAATAATTGAACAGTGATAACCAAATTGCAGGGCAGAGATAGAAGGCAAACCCATTCCACCCTGAGGTTTGGGCTTGCACACATTATCCCAGGAAACCAACCTCAATTTCTTAAGAGCCACAACCTCCCCAAACAACAAAAAAAATTGGAGCAGATTTTCCTCACATATTTGATGATAGTTTTAGGTAGAATAGCACATATAATCCAATATACAATGGAATTTAAAATTGTGAATTTAAAAAATTATAAACGGCCTGTAAAGGAAAGTAGATTAGCCAACCAAATAGCTTCCTTGTGATGCTTTCAATGAGAGGCATATAGTTAGAAATTTGTCTTCTAATGGAAATCAGAATGCCCAGATACATAATGCAATTACTGACATTAAAATGAGAAAGGGCAGAGCATATGGCCTCTTGATTAGGACTGTTACCAGAGAGGATGATAGAGCTTTTCTCAAAGTTGACCTGAAGACCTGAAAGCATTAACAAAAATCTTAAGATAGTTAGTTAGCTTTGACCAATTTGGAACATCCAATTTGCTAAATACCAACAGGTCATCCACATAAAGAAGGTGGGTTAGGTTGAAACCCTCAAAGGAAATACCCTCGAATCCACCATCATCAATAATGGATGAGAAGGCATCCATAACCAAATGGATGAAATTTTGACTGATACTGGGTTGAATGATCCCTGCTTCCAGCAGCTCCCTAATCAATCTTTTGATCTCATCCTTATGGATTTAGGGATGACGATACAGATGAACAGATAGAGGTGAAACTACTTCCTTCAAGATGATAGCATGCTCGTGTTCCCGCCGAGGAGGCAACCACTAAGGCGGCTGAAAAACCTCACTGAACTGCTGAATCAATTGTTGTAATGAAAGAGGAATGTCACCACCCTCCTCCAATCTGATCTCTTCCATCCTATGTAGTTCCATAAGATAACCTTCCCCCACATCTTTTATGCTCCTCATCTTGGTTTTAAGTGATATCATGGCTTTGATGAGCCCTGCATCTTCCTTTATCATTACTCTCTCCCCCTCCACCACCATATTTATCTTTAATGCCCCCCAGTTGACATTGGTGTCTCCCAAGATTTGCAGCCACTTTATCCTCAGGATGACATCAGTGCTCTCTAGCTCAAATGGGAGAAAATTCTCCCTCATCTGAACCCCCTATATAGTCAACATTATCTACACTTATGCCCTGGAGTATATTTTTCATCACATCTGAAGCATAGTCCATTCATCCTCTTCTTCTGCATCTTCCTCTCCATCAGTCTTTTGAAGTTCCCCCCACTTCCTCCTCCTGCTGGATTCTCCCTGGGAATTCTATTAATGTTGTTTGATGCAGGCCCCTTGGGTGATAGAAGTGTGGTTGTCATCATGTAAGAGCCTCCTGAACTGCTACCTCTGGCTCCCCTCTCCTGGTACTCCTGAAGACCCGAAGCATTAACAAAAATATTAAGATAGTTAGTTAGCTTTGACCAATTTGGAACATCTGATTTGCTAAATACCAACATGTTGTCCGCATAAAGAATGTGGATTGAAGCCCTCAAAGGAAATATCCTTGAATCCACTATCATCAATAAGAGATGAGAGGACATCCATAAACAAACAGAAAAGATAAGGGCTTAAGGGGCACCCTTGATGCAAGCCATCAGAAGAAGAGAAAAGCCCCTCAAGCACACTGTTAATAGCAATAGAGAAATTGATATCATAAATGCAAGCTTTCACCCATTGAATGAAAATAATCGTAATACCTTTTTGCACCGTCCTTGCAAGAAGGAATTCTCTAGAGACCATATCAAAAGTTTTTCGAATATCCAGTTTAGCACAAAAAAAACTGTTACTTCCCTTTTGTCGAGCATTGGTAAGAATTTCATTTGCTAAAATGATGTTGTCTACAAATATTATGGACTTTATAAATCTAGCTTGGTTATCTTTCACAATCATAGGCATAATTGTCTTCAGCCTGCTAGATAAAATCTTGGAGATGATTTTGTAAAGAACATTGCCGGGGGTGATTAGTCTGAAGTCAACATAGGATGCTGCATGCTTGGTTTTTGGAATTAAGGCAAGGGCAGATTCTTTAACACTACTAGGGAGATACACCTTAAGGAAGAATGATTTAACTGCCTTGCAACTGATGGACCAATGATATGCCAAGCCATTTCGTAAAAGTGGAAATTGAAACCATCGGGCCCAAGGTAGAGGTAGAGGAACCCGAGAAAATAACATATTTGATATCGTCGTCAAATATTTGATTAGTTAGAGAGGAAGCAAGAGATGGGGGGAGGGTGTTACCGGCAGGGAAAGGAGTCTTGTCAGTATAGGGAGGCACGGTTGGATTAAGAAAACTAACTCCTTTCCATGAAATGAAGGTGGGAGGCCTCCGACAGAGCCGGGGGAGGAGGAGGAGAGGCGTGGCAGCTAGGGCTAAGAAAAAACCCTAGCATAACAAAAAAGCTAACTTTTGGTTTTGAATAAGCAGCACTTTGTAGGCATTTTAACTTTCCTTTCTCAAGAAGATTCAATTTTAGCTCAAAATAGACTTGAAGTAATGTGATTTAATCTTAAGTTGAATTAAATTAATTGGTGATTGAATCAAAATCATACAATGCAAAGCAAGAAAAGACAAGTTTAGAGAAAGTTTATTCATATCTATATATTTTTTCAGATTCAGGTAATATCGTTAAGGTTAAAAGTATCGTTATTGTGATTAATTGACAATGATGATCAATGCTTACAAGTATTTAGTGGCACATTAAATAATTCCTGTTATTCTTTTCAAGCACGTTTATATACCAACCAGTCATTCAAACAAACTTATCCTCTCTTTGAGAAGGCCCACAAGCTATTTGTTTTGCTGTAGAGAAAATCAAATGGAGGCACATTTTCAACAAGCGTTAAAAAAATGGTGGCACATTGTCCACAATTGTTACAAATTAGGCTAATAAATTTTTGTTTTCACTAAACAATTTAAAATACAATAACGTGACCATTTTTTTATTTTTTTTTAATTAAGGGAGCTTTAATTTCGAAGATTAGATTGGATTAATTTTTGTCTTTGTTCTAAAGCCAATATATAAAACATGCATTTCATGTTGCTCTTAAAAACTACAAATTGTTTGAAGTGCATAAATTAATTATGACATAAATTAAATCCTGTTTTAATTGGAAGATGTCAGAATTTAAGTTCATATAATATGTTTTAAACAGCATTGGCAATATTTCGAACAATCAAAGCATATAAAAACTGTTTTTTATATATCTCATATCAATGATGGCTCCAACAAATTTACATAAAACTAATAATAATACATCTTAGTAAAATTTTAACATTTTTATCCAGTGATGTTTAGCTTGGTTGGTGGACGAGTACGGTCCTGTGCTCGATTTCCCTTGAGCGGTGGCACCTCTTAAGTGGGGCTCAATCAAGTTCGGGCCAGGAGATTTTTGGGGTGGGTGCCTCTTCTAGGTTAGCCGAGTATTAGTCACGCTGTCAAGCATCCTTTCCGGGGTGGCAGCGAGTGGATATCTCGTTTCAAAATAATTTTTTTTTATAACATTTTTATCTGCAGTTATATTTAAAGTAACGAAGGAAATAATAAATAATAAAGTGTAGATGACACTAAAAATTAAGTTAAAATTTTCGAAACATGCAAATTAAAGACAAAATGGCATCAATTGAGAAGATCAATGCTACTTAATTTATATGCGAAGCCAAGGCTTAAAACAAGACAAAAGGTTTATAAATAATTAAATTTTAGTTGTGGAGGCCATGGTTGTTAAGATGTCTATATAATTAGCATAATATTTTATGCAAATCCTGAATCTATAAACTATTAGAGAGGATGTGGTCCAAATGGCTATCCTTAAAAGATATCAAGTGATTGGTTTTAACCTGAATGGTTAAATGATTGCTAATAGTGGCTGAGCCAAAAATTAATAATAATAATAATAATAATTTGGATATAATTCAGATATTTTAAATATTCCTTCAAAAATTTTCATTTGGATTTGCGACTGACATTGGTAGTTTTAATTTTTTTTAAAAGATATAATTTATAACATCTAATCTTTATATTATGAAAGAGTTGAATGGTATACATTAATCAAATATTTTCTCTACATATGTGACTCAAATATCATTCATTTAATAATCTTTAATTTTATTTCGTAGTCAATTTAGTAGAAAAATCTCTTGTAACTTAAATTGTATTTATCTGAAAATAAATTCTAATTTTTTATTCATCATGATAAAATTTTAATTGTAATATCATAACATAATTTATTTCACATAAAAATTAAAACTGCAACGAGATGATTGAAACAAAAAAAAAGAAGAAGTTATTAACTCTGCTTCTTTCTCAAAAAAGAATAAATAATAACAAATGTAAACATAAAAAATATATATATATATATATAAGGATTGTATAAGCTGTTGTGTTATTGAGCATTACGTATGGCCACGTGCTTGATGATTGACTGAGTGCCATTTGGCAAACTGGATAACGTGGAAGAGGTGAAATTATTCTGTGCGGATACAGATGCTGTCGGGAGATAAATTAGAACATTTCACATCACTCGTTTGTTGTGTATCGCAGCTGTGTGCTGTTGTGTACTTGGTGATATGGCGCGTTTTGATTCGCCTCCGGATGATCCGATATCCGCATAAAATAATTTCTCATGGAAGAGAGCCATCTTAGCATGGTGGACACATTTCTCTTCGTGAGAGGGTGGACTTAAGTGGCATGGCTTCATATGCTTGATGGGAAGTCTCCATGTGACTGAATGACCAGATTTCATTGTAAAATGAGAGAAAGATGAAGGAGAGCCATTTCACAATATGAGATTTAAGTTGCGAGCAATCTCAAGTTCCTATAAAGCCTTGTAAGCTCTTTCATCCATCCTCGTATGAGGTACATCTTCGTTTGATGAATGTCATTGTATGGCATTGAATGTTCTCCATCATCAGCCATCACCCACTATCTATCAATTATCATCATCAGTTAGGACAATTTTAAGTTTAAAATTTCATTTGAGAAGATTTTCTTACTGCTTCTTATAACAGTTTATTAGTACAAAAATTTTAATTTTGCACTAAAAAATTGCTATAAAAAACATTAAGAAAATAGTCTCAAATGAAGCTTAAGTCAGATAGATTATCTGGCCAGTTCCATATTGAACCGATTGATCCTCTTTAAAAAATCTTGCTTTTCAAATATATTTTTTCTATTATGGAAATAAAGTGTTGGATTTATTAAAAAAAATGTTTTTTTTATTGGTATAAAACAAAAAGTGTTGGAGCTCTATCCAAACGGGCTGCATGGGCGCCCAGTGAAAGGAAAGCCAATGAGAGATGGATAAATATTGACAATCTGGCATTGACCTGTTGACCGGACAACGTGGCCTTGCGTGTATGGATGAGCTCGTGTGCTGTCCATGCACGTCTCTAGAAATGAAAATTATTATTTTTGGATAACAAGTTGGTGAATTGTTGTACGAAATATATTTAATTATTCATCAATTATAATATTAATATATAACATGAGAAAAATAAATTATTTCTCAATTAAAAAAAAATTTCTTCATCATTATAAGCAATTTCTAATTCGGATGTTCAGATCAGACAAATTAAATTAGCGCTTTTTTAAATAAAAAATAAGCATTTTAAATGATATATGATGTACAAAATATTTATAAAAGATTATATATATATATATATATTTCATGAGGTTAAGTTGATTGAGATGTTTTTAATGAATAATTTTCTTTATATGACTCATCATGATATTTTTCTTGAAAAATGAAAAATAATAATAAATGAATTGGCGTCTCTATCCCTTAACATAAAAAGTGTTTGTTAGATTTTTAAATAAAGATAAATGTCATTAGCTTAACATTTTCATAGATTATTTATAATTAATAAGAAAAAGAGATGAAAGGGAGAATTTTTTTTTTAAAAAAAATATATGATTAAATTTATTTTAAAATGAGGTTGTCTATTACACTCATTTTCATAAATAAAATGATTTAAAAAATGATTAAAATTAATTTGGGTCATAATATTTAAATATTATCAGAAAATCTCTATGGATTTGGCCTTAAAGCTATTAGCTAGATAACTAAATTTATTTTAAGATTAACGCGATATAAATTTTAATTAATTTTTCATATACTATTAATCTCAAAATAAATTTAATAATTTTGAAATGATAAAAAATTTAACCGAAATATTATAACACAATTTTCCAACTTTATTATATATCAGAGAGAAAAATCAGATATTCTATACTCTATAGGTAGTATATGAGATATTTATCTCTACATTTGCTTTTTAATAATACTATGATATAAATTTAGAAATTTACAAACATATCATTATAAATATTTATATTTAGTTATATAATATTTTAATTTTAAAATGATATGGAAAATATCATTAAGTTAAGCTTATCTAAAACAAATATATTTTTTTGATATTATTTAGATATTATGGTATTCTACAAATACATAGAAAGTATAAAAAATTAGATATATTAATCCCCTTATAAAAAAATTTTATCTTGTTAACACGAAAATTACACATCTACGACATTAACGGATTACCAACCAATGCATTATCATCCATCGCTCACTTATATTTAGAACTTTCGTGTGGAAATTTTATTCTAGCTTCTTGAATAGGTGCGGTGCATCAGGTGCACAAAATTTAAATTTCCTATTTATTCTGGCTTCGGCATAATATTTTGTCCTCCTTGGTCCTCTGTTTTCTTCTTCTGTGATGCTATTTCCCCCTAATTCCAAAAGGATTAGTTTTCTTCTTCTGTGCCCATAATTCTACTGTCTTCCAATCTTTTATTCGAGTAAATATTCAAACCTCATTTCAACAGTTTTTCATCTCAAATAAGAAGGAAGTTGCTTGTTCTTTTCTGTTTTTTTTTCTTTAAATAGAGATTGTGGGTGTCTTGCTTCATCATCATCATCATCATCATCATCTTCTTCTTCTTCTTCTTCATAAGCTTCTGTTTCTTATCGGGACATGTTGACAAGAAGAATTCCTCAAAAAATTTCCACCAGAGGCATGTTTATGAAGCTAGTAAGCAATTTTATCAAGCCGCAATGGGGGGTTAGTTTCCTTCTTTGTTTTACCCTATTTCCTGGAAACTTCTGTAGTTATCTATATTCAGAGTATTCTCCAATGCATTATAATTAAAAAAAAAAAGTTTATATTGTTTCAGGTTGGAAGCTGTTCTTTCTTCACATCTCGACCAGCATCATATCTGCAAACCGCATGTGAGGTGGCTTTTGATACTGAAAGGTGACTATCTGTTCTGTTTCATATGAAAAGTTTAAATCTTTGCTTATTTTCAAAGGGCTGATAATTTGAAGAACTTATTATTCATTTTTTTTTGAATGATTAGGATGTTTTTGATGAGTGAATTTGATGATTTTATCAGTTTTCTGTTCAAAATCTCATAATTAGGATTTCAAGTGAGCGGGGTGAATGGGTTTACCCCAAATTTATGAGGCCGGGGTAGAGTTTCTGTAATATATCTACTTGCAAGAGAATTTTCAAATAAACTATCATATTATATATAGTTATATAAGGCTTTTGTGAAATATGAGGAGATGAAAGCCACACTAGCTCTAGCTCCTCCCTGATTTAAGTACTGAACAAAATCCTTGATGAAAATTTGATTTTTGGTTGAGAGATAGCAGGAGTGTGGATGAATATGCTGATGTGGATTGGGATAAGCTTGGTTTTCGTCTCATGGAAACAGATTACATGTATATTATGAAATGTTGTCAAGATGATGAATTCTCACACGGCCACCTCAATCGATATGGGAACATTGAGCTCAGCCCATCTGCTGGAGTTTTGAATTATGCACAGGTTAGTACTGAACTATTACAAACTCTTCACACAAAGAGCACACGCATTATCTTTATCATTTGCCTCATCCAAACCATTCAAGTTAAATTTTATCAACCCTCTTTCTACAAACATTTGGGAAATTTTATGTCACAGGGTTTATTTGAAGGATTGAAAGCATATAGGAAGGTGAATGGTAATGGCTTCTTGATTTTTCGACCAGAGGAGAATGCTCGAAGAATGCAGATAGGTTCTGATAGAATGTGTATGCCATCTCCTTCTGTTGAACAGTTTGTTCATGCTGTGAAACAAACAGTCTTAGCTAACAAGCGTTGGGTTTGTAATCAAAATTGATTTTTTTATTTTTTGGTACCATACCTTCTTATGTTGCATTGATAGAAAAATCATATAAAAATATATATATATTCTTTTAATGACTGGCCTAATTTTATGTTTGATGTTTTTGCATGTTACAGATTCCACCTCCAGGAAAAGGTTCTTTATATGTTAGGCCATTGCTAATGGGAAGTGGCCCTATATTGGGCTTGGCACCTGCATCAGAGTATACGTTTTTGGTTTATGCAGCACCAGTGGGAAACTATTTCAAGGTATCAGTGATTTTTCATAAACCATTTCTTCTTTTCAGATATCTTCTATTGATTTGTTAAGATATTATGCTGATGAATTTGCAATTAATTCAGTTAAACTCAATTAACCTCCTTTGTCTGATTTAAATTTGGTAAGATCTGCTATTAGGACAGCTGATGTTTTTTTTAATGAAAAGGACAGTTTATTTCTCGTTCTCTTTTGTTTTTTTTTAAACATTTAGGTCAATTAAATCAAACTCACACATGCATCACATACGCAAGCTTCGATTCCAAAACCTCTTGATTGATAGTCAAAGCTCTCAACTAACAAATCAAGAGGAGCTCAGTTTTGCTTCTCATTTTAGTGTGCTTGGTAGCTGTAGTTTATTTCCTTTTTTATAGTTTTAATACTATGATCATAATTGCAGGAGGGCTTGGCACCAATAAATCTGGTTATTCAAGACGAAAGCTATCGTGCAACTCCAGGAGGGACTGGTGCTGTAAAAACAATTGCAAACTATTCACCGGTGGGATATTTGCTTTTATATATTTTATAGTTCTTCTTTGATAGGAAATTAAACAATAAAAGTCTGCAAATTCATCTTTATGTTTTGGATCCAAAGTTTGTGGAAAGATATCAAATCTTACTGGGGAAGCAAATCAAACTTAAAGAACTGGAAAAAGAGAGAGAGGGAGAGGAACAAGGTCCCAATCAATCTTGTTCTTGGAGATTAATTGGCCTACAAGGAAGCCTAAAAACTTGTTTAAACAGACTAGGGATTATAGGAAAAAAAAAACGAAGAGAAAAAGAATTTATGTAGATTTTTAGTGAGATTTCATATGATTTAGCATAAAATTTATATAGTATGATTTTTCTTATATGATTTCTTATTAGATTTTTATGTGCCAGCGCTCGCTCAATGACCTCCTTAATTGTAGGCAAGGATCAAGGTTTTCATCATGGATATGGCTACATTGTATAATTATATATAAAATCTATAGAGTGCATGCTTTGTGGCTGGTGAGTTAGGCATGTAGAGCGCCACTAGCGCGCAGTTAGGAGAATTTCAAGCAAATTATGAATCAAGGGTTGAGTACCCTTGAAGAGTTCTTCTAATGAGAAGGCCTAGTCGATTGACGAATATTCTAGGTGAATGGAGAATCATTTTAGACAAATAACCTTGATCAACGGGCAACTTCATGAGTTTCTTAGGCAAGTTCAACAACTTAGTGCTAAGGTTCGAGTTAGAGCTAACTCTTGAGAGATTTTTCAAAGATGTAGTTTTTTTTTTTAATATAAAGCGCTTTTATTTCATCAAAAAGGAAAATACAACGAAGACAAACAAGAAAAATCAAAAAAATTACGAAGCTAAAATCAACCAATCATCCGGAAGGCAAGCAAGGACCATCCATTGATAGCACTAAGCACAGACCAAGCATCACCCCATAGTTCAAACAAATGCCACCAATCATTACAAGAGAAGGAGCCACCAAGGTTGCCAGCAAGCCAAGTCCATCCAAAGGTTGGGCAGAAAACCGCCTCATCATTGACCAGACTAGACAATAAAGGCCCAACCTGAGTATCATAACATCCAGCCTAGCAAAAAATATAGAAGAGGAGACCGTAACAGAAAAGGACTCGAGCAAAAAAAAAAAAAACCAATTACTTTTTCAAAAATGTAGTTATGATAAGGAAAGATGGAAAATAGGGTTTATCATTTTGAAACAGAATTGAAGCAGCAGCCCTTGAAGTTAGATGGCATTGGTACCATAAAGAAATAGCATATTCAGGGGGAAAAGGGGAGAAATTATTACATCCGGTCAAAAATCGAATGGTGCGAATGTATACCGAGCAATACCGAGTCCTAAATACTGAGTTTTAGGTGACATGGCGCGTGGTTATTGGTCTTTGAACTCATTCGGACACCGGATATAATAATTGCTCAGAAAAGGGAGAGGAAACTCTTACAAAAAGTGCTCAAATATGCTCTAAATCATCATTGTCAACTGATCATCCATGTGTTGTAGTTTTTCTTAGTTGACTTAGTCATTACTCATTAGGTTACTCAATGTGGAAGGGCCTTTTAACAATCTTTGACAATAATCTACTATACTGCTAAAGATTTTTAGGTTAAGTATTATACTTAAGATTAACTTCTTTTTAAGGCTAATTTTTCATCCTCTGATGCACCTTTTGTAGGTTCTAAAGGCGCAAATGCAGGCTAAGAAGAAAGGATTTACAGATGTTCTATTTCTCGATGCTGTTGACAACAAGTATTTGGAAGAAGCTTCTTCCTGCAACATATTTATCCGAAAGGTATTTTGATTTTCACACAAAATTTTCATTTATATTATATTTTGATGCATCTAACTATTAATTTGTGTAGCATAAATCAAACAAATACAATTAAAAAATATTTTCTTACAATGACTGAGATAGATAGCATTTTTCTCTTTTACAAAATTATGCTTAATACATTTTTTTAATGAAATAATTAAGAATTTCTTTAAATTATTTTTTACAATCTTCGAACATTATTTGAACAGAATAATGTAATATCTACCCCAATGGCACGTGGAACTATCCTTGAGGGAATCACACGTGCAAGCATCATAGAAATTGCTCGTGACTTTGGTTATGAGGTTAGTTTTATTGATTTGAGTAATATTTAGCTCACCTAAAAATTTGCATAAATCAACATATTTATGTTATGTTAATTTTTTGGATAAATAAAAATATATAATTAATCCTCCTCTTCCTAAAAAATTAATTTATTTCCCTTATTTTTTACCATTGCATGGAAGAAATATTTATTTTTCCTTCACAAAATGAACAGGTTGACGAAAGGTTGGTTTCTGTGGAGGACTTGACTGATGCTGATGAAGTCTTCTGCACTGGAACTGCTGTAGTAGTAGCTCCAGTAAACAGCATAACTTATAAAGGTCAAAGGTATGGATCAAATGGGCATCTCATAATGCAAAAATTATTCCGTGCGATGTCCGGACATGTCCAGAGATCAATCCGGACACGCCATATCACCTAATACATAATATATAATACATTGCATAACTTGACGCTGTCGTATTAACCTCCGGATGCATCCGAACTCCGCACGTAATAATCTCTCACCATAATGACAGATAAATATCAATTAAATTGCTTCTCTTTCATATTATACATCCAAAATGTCTATATGATACGGTATCATTTTTTAACAAATTTTTTTACTGTATATGGCTCATGTTGCAGGTGATTGAGGTTTTGTTATCCCAAAGCCAAAAAAATAAAAATAAAATTACCATTAACTCTTTGATCTTGAATAAATAAAAAGAACAAATAATGTGATGAAAAAGAAAGAAAAAAATTTAGACTCATTACAAGAAGAAAAATCATAAAAACAAAACTTTTTTAATCTAAATATGTTCTTGTTTTTTAATCTAAATATGTTCTTGTTTTTAAGTTGTGATAGATAAATTTGCCAGTTAAGTGCTTAACAGGATAATATTCAAAATAATGATTACTTCCTTTTTTTGGTGGATGTAGATACAAATATAATTGTGGAGAAGATGCTGTATCCAGAAAGCTATACAAATCCCTTACAGATATCCAAATGGGCATTGCTGAAGATAAGAAAGGATGGACGGTTGAGATTGACTAATACCTCCTGCATAGTTGATTTTGAATTATTTTCATTAAAAAGATTAAAAAAAAGGTAAAGATTAAAGAGTCCACAGTCCTCGTTTGTCATCTTATCAGAAATATGGAATAACTTTGTCCTTTTTGATGGAATACAATAAGAAAGATTTTTACCTGTTAGCACAACTAAAGTCTTCAGAAAATAAAACCATAACAAAGCCTTACTTGGCAGATTTTGATGAAAAGATGCCAAAGGAGAAACAAAACTTTTCAAGATAAATATGACAGCACATAATGGCAAAGGAAGAATAGTTTTTTTTTTTTTTTTTCTCCAATTGCATTGTGCCAACATAAGAAACAGTCTGCCATTCAATTCATTCATGAAAAACAAATAAGTATTGCAAGATAAGGTTGCAAGCTAACCAAATGTTCAACGAGCTACTCGTTGTTCGGTTTTCGATTATAACTTGTTTGTGATCATTTAATTAACTAAACAAACAAACTTGAACAAGATTTTAAATACTCGATTATTTCATAAACAAGCATCAACACTAATGTGTTAGGCTCATTTATGTTCATAACAACATCATTTAAAGCTCGTGAACAAGCTTGACATTAAGCTCGATAAGAAGTTCGATTCGTGTTTGATTCAGAACTCTTGAATAAGCTCGATAAAAACTCAATTAATATTTGATTATAAAATTGATCAATATAAATATTTTATATTTATTATAACATAATGATATAATTATTGTTAAATAATAAAATTTAAAGCAATTAAATACTACAATATATGCTAATTAAAAAATTTCGCTAAATATATTCATGAACATGCTCAATGCATTTGTTTGTAAGTTGGCTCGAAAGCTCGTTTGTTAAGTTGATGAACATCTAGAAATAGATCTCGTTTATAGCTCGTCAATGCTTGTTTGTTTAAAACTCGATAAGCACTAAATGAACTGAATATGAACCAAACATGAACACTCAGAATATCATGAACGAAGTATTCAGCCCTACATGAAACAAAGTTTGTGCTATCAATTTAAAACTCAGTTCATTTGCAGCCCTACATATAGAAAATGTATAAATGTGATTTGCAAATAATGGGTTGTTTTAAGAATTTAACAATCATGAAACAAAGTATTCAGCAGTCAAATTTTGTACAGCCTCTTACTCACAGGTCATCTACTGATACTTAGAAAATTTCACTGATCAAGGGGACAAGTTAGTTTGTGCTATCAATAGCGGGTGAAATTTGAAACATTTCCAAAGAAAATGAAACAAACATAAACAGCTTGTAAAAAGTTACAAATAAGTGATCAAATTCATTATGATTCCATAAAAAATAGGAAGCTTTAATCAGCCAAATATGAATTTGAGCAGAATATGTTGATCACTTGGAGAGTCTGAATATATTCTATAGAAGCTAATTGAACCATCAAAGCAGAGTTTTTGCATAGACAAACTGTATCAGATATATCATGAATGAATTATGGTCAGAATGAGCTTTATCACAGTTTGATTTGATCTAAAATTAGTACAATTATTTGATATATATGTAGTACTAATCTAAACACAAATCCAATAATTATAGAGCTCATCTTGACCAGATTTTGGTCGAAGCATTCTCATGCAATTTTTTTCCTTCTTGATGCAAATGACAATAAATCAGCCAAGATATCTTCTACAGCAGTTCAAACAAATCAAGTACAGGATAAAAACATGGTCAGTTCAGACACACAGAGAGAAATAAACACATAATAAAGAGAACTGTGTAGAGGAAATGAACGGCTGTCTACATCGCTTTCTCTCTTCATCTATCTCTCTCTCTACTGACAAAAAATTGGTATTCTAAACACCTGTCAAATATTTACTTAGTAGCCAACCAAATATTTACTCACCGCCTAATTCAAGAAATAATTCCAGATGATTAGATGCGTATAATATGTGGAATACAATATGGAACTAGTCATCAGTTGGTACGGCAAGACAACTTTTCAAGAGTTGGGTCCAAATCATTTTGCATCCTAAAAATATCTTTGAGCTCCGAAAATTCATGTCCCGCCCTCTCTGCGGACCCCTTTCTTTATTTTTTTAAGGGGACAAATTTAAATTCACCTTAACTAATAGAGGGCTTTGTGCCCTATCGATTTTATCTTATTGATTCATATCTCAATGATTTGAAGTCAATGGGGAGCATACGGGCTATATGATTGTAACCTGTGGGCTCCGAAAATTCGGCCCCGGCCTCCGCCCGCTATTGCTTTTATTTTCTTTGAGGGGAGTTTTAACGGAATTAATTTCCAGGTTAAATTTTGAAAGGCAGATGGGTTTGTAGATAAGACACTACCCATAGATTTTGCTCTCATTTTGCGAGGACTTTATGATCCGAGTTCTGGTTTCCTATAGGTGCAAGCCCATATAGTTAATTACCCCACCCAGTAATGAGAGAGAACTTTCGATTAAGGCTAGTAGTCAATCAAATACATAAAGATACGTGTTATCTGGCATATAGTAGCATTATGGGCACGTGTATTTTAAAAGTTTGGATGTTGGAAGAAGTTTGATATTTAAAATATTAAATTTCACCATCTTGCACTTAAAGCGGATGGTGGGGGAATGAATGATGGACCCGATCAAGATCCATGGTTCCGTAGTCCCGGGCCATCGTGATCCCTGGTCTACTTAGTAGAGGAGGTAGTCGACCCAACCTGACAGAAGGATACTTGTCAGAAGCCATGGGTTGCTTCGTCCAAGGGTAACCTTGTAGACCTGGGGTCGGTATTTGCCTAAAGGAACAAATTTGAATCCACCTTAGCTAACAGAGAGTTTTGTGCCCTGTCGATTATATCATATTGATTCATATATCAAGGATTTGATGTCACTAAGGAGCGTATTGGCTCTGGCCATAACCGCTATCTGTGGTGCCATTTGGCGGCAAAACCACTCGATTCAAAGGGCCCCGGGTAATAACCGTTTATCATGCGATATCATTTGGCGGCAAAACCGCCGATTAGAGGACACGACCACGTCCTTACTAGTAGGAGATTGCTTGAGAATGGATCCTAGTGATATTTTTGACTAGGCATTTAGCTCTATGCAGGCTAAAGTAAATTTTAATTTGTCCACCCTAGCAAACTGTTGCGGAGGGTGGATAAGTTTTTTATTTAGTGATTGATAGTTTCTTGAAATTTGAATTCACTTATTAACCCGCGCAACATCCCTATACGTTACGTGTGTACTTATAACATGCTCGTCGAGGCCCATGCGGGTGTTTGGGGCTTTGGGGGCTTTTTATAATTATTTATCGGACCTTGTCAACTCCTATTTATTTGCTTAGGAGGATCAGGTCCAAACGTATTGACCCACGCAGCATCCCTAGACGTTACGTGTGTTCCCACAACACGCTCGCCAGGGCCCATACAAGTTTTATGATTGCACTTGCCTTTTTTGTGTACCTATGTGTATACAAACTACGGTGCATGTACGAGGGTATTCTAGAATGTTTGATGCCTATCAATTGTGCGAGGAACTGCTATTTGAATGCAACATTCTATTTGGGAGCTCGTAGAAGCCTTATGTCTGCTTGTAGGGATGTTGTAGATCCAGTGGCGTGGTATAGCAGCTTCTAAATTGAATTGTTTGCTACTTTGTACAGGTAGACTGTCGTGCACTACTTGTTGCTTCATGCAGGTGGATCATAGTGCACTAATGAATCTCCTGCTTGGCATTTATAGATGCTCGTAGATAGCTTGTTGTATGCACGATGAGTTTCCCACTGTAATTCATAAGCACTTGCATTTGATATAGTTACTTTTGTGTTTTACTTATGGACAATAGACTGGGTGTACTACAGGTCTTTCACAGTGGCCCGTATGCATTTACATTTGTTGTAGTCATTCGTATGTTGATCTATTTTGGCTCTAGAATACTGTAACATTCACTGTTTACCGACACCCATCACTTGTAAGTATATCACTGCATTTGTGGCAGACTTCTTGCATACAATTCAAGCTTCATTGTGTACATTGAGCTGTCATGCGTATTGTATGTCTTACCTTTTCACTCGTGAGAGATAGAGATGTATGCATGTTATAACATCATCGCGGGCGATGTGAACAACTATTGTAGACTTTCGTGCTCACCCTATCCATTATAGGGACTCTGTTAGATCTCTAAACTTTACTCACAAGCCTATCACTACACCACTCATGGACAAGTCATTTTGTACATTTGGAGTTTTGTCACTTGTATATATGGAGAGGTCTCTTACACTGATTTGTCTGAACACATTTGCCTTTATTCTGATATTGTCCACAAAACACTAATGTTATCAACATATCCCCTTTACACTTGTCATATCTAGCCTTCTAATGCTCTATAGGGAACTAGTACATTCAACTACAAATGGGTCATCGTTGATTGGAGAAACATTATGATGTTCCTTGCATATTCATGGTATCCACTACAAATTCTTCCTCCAATTCGTAGGCAAGATGTTGTATGTTGCATCTCTTTCATTTCTGCTTTCAACTGCTACATAGTACGTAAAGTGAGTCTCTTATAACAGCTTGTAGAAACTAGTGTCTATCCCCAATTAATCACCACTCAACTTGCAAAGGGGGTTGTGTATTTGCTTAGCATTGAATTATTGCTTATCGTAGGAATGTCCTGATATTCATTGCATATTACAATGAGTATGTTGGCAGGAGACCCTGTTGTTTGCGAGCAGATTGTATTTGCAAGTTCTTCCTCATCTCTAACAGTAGCTCTATTCATTAAGAGCTTGTCTCATTAACACCGTTAAGCTTCTTCACATGAGCTTGTGGACCCACTGATGTGGGCACTGTAATCATCATGTTACTCTTGTGCCGATTGAAAGTTCTTTATGGTGCAATGAACATATTGTCATACGCAAATCCTCTTGTTCATGAGTTTTATGTATGTGTTCATTTACATCTCAATTGAGATGACGATTTCTTAATATCCCATTGACAATATTGCGTTATTGTCAAATTGAAACTCTTTACAACTCATTCAATTCAATTATACTTAAACTCAAGTTAGGTTCAAGTTTGAATTAGATTCAATCATAGTTCTTCGTGGTCCAAACAAATTCAAGTCTTGTATAATTCAACATTGATCAAAGTCCTTGTCCATCTCATCTGAAGTTCAAATCAAATGCG